TATATCCAGATTTCCAGTCCAACATATTTCAGGAAAAATATAAATTGATTAGAAACACGTTGGTCCCGGTAGGGGTCGAACCCACGTCTCATTGATCATTAGCTATACACTGCTGCCATTGACAAACGAGCTCGTAAATATTTTATTAATCTAAATATGTTATTGTTACACTTGTAACAGTGTTTTCTTTTGAAACATCGCTCATACTTGGAATCTAATCTAATATTATAAAGCTGAAGTTTGTTTGTTTGGAAACGCTAACCTCAGGAACTACTGATTCGGTTTAAAAAGTTATTTTTGTTTCGGTTAGAGCATTTATCGAGGAAGGCTTTATCTAGGCAGTAATTATCTACCAAAGTAGTATCGTAAGAACTCGATTAATAGCCCTTTGGAATGACGTATAATTTCCTCGTTTACCACAAAAAGTTTGCATAGATCGATCCTTTTTCGTCGGATGAAAGCTTAGAAATCACTTAATCACACTTTAAGTACTGCGTTTTACTTAGTCATCTTTTTATTCCGTGTTCGTTGAGTGTTTTTACTTTAAATTTTTCTTTTTCTCTATTATACTTTTTATACTAACGTTGGAGGATTTTGTTTAATTTAACGGCGGAACTGAAAATTTCCATCATGCACTTCGAGAAACTTTTATAGCTTGATACCTTCTGCTATAAATGAAAGAGACGCGGAGAAACAAACTACACACAGCACATATATCACAAGTTGTTTTGAAGTAAATATTCGAATGTATTATCTAATTTATTTAAATTGATTAGAAATGAGGGACGATTGTTAGAGCATCGACCTTATCTAAGTAATGAAAATAAAACGGAATTTATCTGTCGTGGTTGAAGTTCAATGTAGTGCAAAGTGGTCAGGAGTATACGAGACGAGTGGAATAACCAGTTCAGTTACTCGCAAAACTCATGCGGTTTTAATATTGTACATTTTAATCATCATTCCTTCGCTGTGTTCCTTTAAACTTGACGTTAACCGATTGAGAAGCGGAGAAATTCGAAATTCAAAATACGAAGCTTATACGCGTAAAAGAGCCTTCGAAAGTACTTGTTGCTTTGGCTATTAAACCAGATGTTTTTGCTTTGAAAATATCACTAAGTACATATGTGTCTGTTCTGTCTATAAAAAGCGATATATTAAAAACTAGCTCTGTCATCGACTTCGTACGCCTAGAAAAGTTATTTTGGGAATTAAATTTGTTTTTTCTCAAACTATTATATTTTTTAGGTATTTTGAACCACTTTCGCAGCGTACGCATTGGAAATTCACAACGATGTATAATTTTCCCCAATTTTTCACATTTTCCAATTTCTTCGCTCCTATAAGTCACATCGCGATATTTACAGCCTTACTTTCCCCGATAAATGTTCTGACCAACAGCAAACTTTTCAATTCAAGTCAGTAGTTCGTTAGATACTATTAAGTATAGATAAAAAAACACGCAGACATGTTGATTGACACTAAATAACTTTGTAACCACTGTGTAGTCCATGTATAATTTATGCTTGTCTAAGATAGGTAATAATTCATTGTAATGGTACAATGTTTAATATTCAATCAGTATTATGTTAATAAAAATCGTTGACAGCCCTATGTTTAATATTGCAAGACGTCTGATAATCTTGATAGGTATGTAGAAAAATAAATATTTATAGGAATAGTAATGACAACGTGTAATGTAAAAATGTGTAATAACACAATTACGGTGGGTTTTATATGGTAAATTAAAACTACTTGATTTAAATAACACACTTTAACGGGTCAAAACGTGATATATATTAGTTAAACTTATTTGAAAATTATTTTTAACTTCGGCCCGACGTTTCGGATGCTTGGCAGCACCGTGGTCACGGGGAGTCTGCCCCGTGTTAAAGTGTTTTATTTAAATGTGTACTACTCGCGTAAACTACAGACAGTATTTAAAACTACTTGACTTCAAATAGTGATTTGGCTATTTGTGTATTTAATATACTTTATATTAAGGAATTTGAATCATACAAAGGCACTGCTTTATCAAGTATTATTTGCTATGTTCATGCCTATTTCGTATGATTTAGCAAGATTTCCATTAAGTTTATTTGTTGATAAGTGTAAAATGTCGAATAGAAGATAGTAATAAAATCAAACTCTTTTTACGGTTTAAAACTCGAAATATATTATGACAATTAATTTTAACTACCACCCGACGGTTAGACGAAATAGGTTAACTATCGGTAACTAATGCATTTCGTGTTTTAAACCGTTAAAAGCGTTTTATTTAAATGTGTATTACTCGCGCAACAGGCAATACTCCAAAATTGTTGTTTTACAGTAATTTGATTGTAGTCATGATGTCTCATTATTTTGGTACTGATAGAGGTAACTGTTATTTATTTGTCATTGGAAATCTGTACATTTTGTTTTTAACAGTCACGTTAACAAAAGAGTAGTAATGAGTTGGTTTATAATACGTTAATTTAGCCTTTATATTTAATACTATATACATAGGGGTTTAGCTAGAAGTGTTGGGTTTCTTGAACCGTTTTCGTAACGCACGCAACCATAAACAATTTTCCCTCTTTTTTCCACTTTTCCCGCTTCGCTCCTATTACTCGCAGCCTGATGTACAGCCTAAAGCCTCCCTCGATTAATGGTCGAAACAACACAAAGATTATTTTTAATTTGAGCCAGTAGTTTCTTAGGTAAGCACGTTTGAACTAATTTCAGCTTTATAATATGTATTAGTATAGATTTTACATTAGGGTTTAACTCTTTGTGTGACTACAGAAAAACATGTTCAACGGTGAAAAATTCTCACACTTAAATGCTTGTTTAAAACTCTTAATTTTAGAAGCATGATAATATAAGCGTGTCCTCATTATAATACTTTTAGCTAGACGAAGCGGAAATATCTATGTAAAATAGTTTTTTTTTAATGCGCTAGATAGGACTCTTAATGGCTAGACTCAGTGCATGAATTAAGCAGTGTTTTTATGACGCTTTTAATATTTGAACCGGCTCCCAAGTGTGGGATAGGCTGTTAAAGTGATGCATGCTTTTTTTACATTCCGTATTCGATAAATACTCAACTCATTTGCAGCCTTGGAGGTTTATAGACATTTGAGCTTCGCACAATGAGATGATATGCTGTCGCTAGAGGCTAAGTGGCCCAACTGCAATTTTAGGACTTCAGTTATTTATATCTATAGTCTTAAAAATGTTATTCTACAAGAGCACAGTGACCGAAAATTGTGAACATAACTTACACAAATAAATAATAGGACAAATTCATGTTCGCCTAAGTTGATTGCGCATTTTATTTTCCTTCTTATTGAAAATCATGTTTTATTTTATTATTAGGCCACTCTGCCTCTAGCAGCCTCATAGTATATATTTTAATTGCTGCTATTGTTGATTGAATGAGTTCTATTAGATGGTCTAATTATAAATAGATCATGTTTAGATGATTAGATTAGACAATGTTTTAGAGACGAAAGCTATATAAGTTGGATTATGATTCTGAAGTTCTGTAGGTAGTTTCAGCAATCATTGGATAAATTAAGTATGTTTTATTATTATCAAGGGCTTCGTACCTCTGTCATAACCCCACGAGAGCCAAAATTTATAGCTTTAACTTAATTACAATAATAAATGATTATATGTATAATATATGATAATGTGCCACGAGCCACAATTTTAGATGCATTGATTATATCTATAACGTAATATGATATAATATCTAAATGTTAAACTTATTGGCATTCAGGATTCGAGATCGCATTAATGTTTTGAAGATCGGACTTGTTCACAATAATTATAAGAATAAAGGCGGCGACTGTTTTTGAAATAAGGCTGTTGATAGACAATAATTTTCCTTTATATTTTGTTATCTTGCAACGGTAGATTTTATTAGCAATTTTAAACCTTCACTATTTACAAAATAACAACTGTTGAAGTGCTAGTTACTTGAAGACTATTGGTCCATTCTATCAATACACTAATAAATAAAGTATAAACTATTCCGGATGACTAAACACACTAGGGTTACATATACATTTGTATCTTTAGTAGATGATGCGGAACTAGCACTTACAGTGTTATTCCTCTTTAAAAAATGTTACATAAAAAATCTCTTGTCGTTTGAATCATGATCATTTAACAGTAATTCTCTCATCAATACTTCGTTGTAAAGATGATAGTCATGTACAAATAACAGAAGCGTAAACGCACCAATTAATATTGCTTATCTTAAACTGACGTATAAGATGCCTAAAACATTATCGAAACGATAGCCTCAGAGCAGCGGGCATTGTTGAAATCTGGTTTTTATTTCAACGTATTTAGGTCTATAGGAGTGAGGGGTTCCTCCGAGCGAGGGTTAGCTCTTGTGACATTCGCGTCTCGATCGCGAATCGGTACTTACATGCCTGCAACTAATTTCAATTTCAAAGTGCTCTTTGCAACGTGAATAATATCGTGAATTTTGAAAAGTGAGTGCTTCGCATCGAATTTTAAATCGTACATTCGAAATTCAAAATATCTGACGCGCGTCAATAACGAACGGGAACAGTGAAACGTATTCGATTACGTTATTGTGTTAATTGCTTAATGTCAAGTTCGACGTGCGTTATTTCGGGAAGAACGTGGAAAGTTTGCAGAAACTTTAAGCGGTTTGGAGCTTTAAGTTTACACTACGTTTAATAAAAGCCCGGAGCTATAATAAATAAATACAGTGTAAACTCCATGTAACGTCACTCTATTTAACGACAAACTCTCTTAAGCGTCGAAATTAATTGGCTTTGGTTGGTTTAGCTTGTTTTTCATACAATGTTTCTTCTCTCCATTTAACGACAACTCTCTATAACGCCATAAAATGCACAGTCCCTTCAGTGTCGCTATATAGAGTTTACACTGTATATCTCATTATAAATTGACAATATATATTGCAAATGTCTTATTGAAATCTTTATAACGTTTTCTTTCTTTCAGTGTATCCCTCAAGAATGTGTCCGCTATGGCCGTTGCATCTCATCATTTTATATTTGCTGGCGCTGGGACCACTGTGGGTGCTCTGTCAGTCAGTGCCCAACTTGATAGCGTCCTTCGATCCGAAAGAAATACAGCTGAATATGGGTGAAACCGCCTTCGTTCGTGTCAATATTACAGGTTTGTACTTTTTAAAATATCCCAGTTCCGAATGGGACGAATACAAATCTGAGTCTGTTTCACTGCTTCATTTTATTAAAGGTATTCGAAGCCACGACCACTTGGGTGCTTATGCTATGCAACGCCACTTAAAGTAAAATCCCATTTCCGGTGGGGTATAAACATATTTTTGGGTACGTTTCACAGATCGTTTTGTTTACAGGCAAGTAAATGATCAGACTTGTGCACCCTTTCTAACCTAAGCAATCTATCGCTTCCCCGGGATTCGAAATCGGGACCTCTCGCGCTGAACGCAGTGCTAGGCAACACATTTAATCATTTACCTACAACGGAACTTAACACTGTATAATTTATCATAAGAATGATGTCTTAAAACAATCACACCCGAGTATTACCTATCAGGTATATTTAATGTAAAACAACTGTGTCGTTACTGAGCGAATATGGTATGCTTTAAAAACTAAGAAAATTATTCCTTTTTTTTAATATTGTATGTAGCGACGTGGTTCTCTTAATTAGTTTTACTAAAAGTTCGCGTCAGGATTTCTTATAACTTGTGCCCGCTAGGAACGGCTAAACTTATTTTAATAAGATTTACTTGCTAAAGACCAATTTTTATATATTATAGTATCCATTTAAGTGTGGGGCAGATATTTTGTGTCCCGTTTCCCCTTCGTGGGGCGTGGGGCTAACACATTTCTGTGTAAGTTTCTCTGTTTCGTTCTTTTTAACAGGCAAGTAGTTGATCAGACTTCTGTGCCCTACCCGAACAACTTTTTTTTTGTTCCCCCCGGGATTCGACTCAGGAGCTCGCGCACATAACGCAATGCAAGGCAATACGTTTAACCATTTGGCTAAAGAGGCGGTCGAGATATTTTGAATGTATTTAGTTAATGTATGAAGATAATTTTTACCATTTATCAAGATCAAACGAAACAGTATGCTAATATTAGCTTCTAGAAATAACTATGAGGCAATTATAGATACTATTTTTTTGTAATAATCAATATCGCGTGTTTGTATGTGTAGTCCGTCATTTTTGCGTTTTATTATACGCTAGTTAAGCAAATATTTAAACGTGAACGCAGCCAATATTTTGCTACCACATTTGGCATCTGTATTTCACAATATTAAACCGCTTTACGTTGTAGTAAAAAACAAAAGAACAACTGCAATTAACCGTCTTAAGATGCAACGCGCCTTATGAATACCTCTTACAGTAATTTATTAATATTCATATAAAGATTATTGTAACTAATTTGAATATACATAATATGTAAAATTATTAAAACTAGTTTAAAATAAAGTTTTTAATGAAATTTTAATGACTACTAATTATATGCCAAAATTCATTTAGCCCATAAAACTTTGTCACTTTAGGTCTCGAGACATTCGATAAAATAAACATCGTTTAATTTCGGGTTCCGTACTTCAAAAATTAAACTGAAACATGTAGTGAATTATGAACTTTGATAATTGGTAGGTAGTAAAAGTATTAAATAGCAAAATACAATTAATATGCCTTACCAACCAACGACGTTTTGATTGTCGTTAGAAAATATGGTACGGAATTTCTTTCTCTTAAAATCTGGCTCTCGTATATTTAAAAGATTATAAATTTCAAAATATAATTTGCAACCTTTTTACAAGGGCACGTACTGCTTACAGCTGAAGTTACCATTATAGCTACTTAAAATTAATTCCAGACATAAAATAAGTTATTCCAACCTTCGATTCCCATCAAGATTCAACAGTCTAACAATGCGATGACAAATGATGATAAGCAGATTTTATTCTTAGCGCCGCCAACGATTTGCAAGTCTACAACTATTCACGTATTATACAAAATGGTCTTCTTATATATTTATACTCTAAAGTCCTACATACATTTTAATAAAAATCAGAGGCATCACACCTTATACGTAAATTAAAGAATCCTACTTGTGTAAATAAAACACTTATGACGGTTTGTAATACAACATATATCATTTAACTTTAATTTAACCACGCCCTAATGATTGAAGTAAAGATCAGTTAACTAATACATATATTTCGCGTTTTAAACCGTTATTAGTGGTTTACTTAAATGTGTACTACTCGCGTAAACTACAGACATTATTTGGCCCCCCTTTTCATGGGTGGAATTTTCAAAATACCTTTCTGTCTACGTCGTACATAGTTCTTATTTGTGCAACTGTCAGTGAGAAACATAACACATAAGTGTCGGACGATACACGCTTACATAGCAAATAATATACGATAGACAATGTTGCTAACAGGTTTTTTTATCGTTATTTATTATTTGCGTTGCAAATTTAAAATTACTATATATCTATATGTAGTACGCTTGCGTTATCCCACGAAATAAAAAACTAATACGACCTGTAATAGAGTTCGCGTTTTAACCAGTTTAAATGTGCACCACTCGCATAAACAACAACAAATATATAAAAGACTTTTAACCATTAAAAATGCAAAACATATAAATTAATTTTCTATTTTCAACTAATGCAAAGCATCCAAAACATCGAGCAGTAGTTAAATGATAATTTTGTTGACATATATATTTCGTGTTTTAAACCGTTAAAAATGTTTAATTAAAGGTGTACTCCTTTAATAAACGACAGACTTACTACATATTTGTTACATTAGTACGGAAAATGTATCTTTTGTTTCAATTTTTACGGTTTTTCAGGCACCGGTTACCTTCCCAACGATGAAATTATAACAAAAGTTGGTGAAGAACATATAGCCAGCGCCAAATGGAATTCTACGCCTCTTGTCACCGAAGGTGGAAAGTTCTTTAGCGGTTTGGTGAAAGTAAATGGAAATTTCTTAGGTAAGTTACAATTATAGTTGGAAAATCGTGAGTCATAAAATTTGAAATATTGCATAATTATTTTTTTAACAACGGTAGACAGAAAAACAGACGATATTAGTCAGTTAGACGGTGCTACTTAATATACGACCAAATTAACAAGCCATATCTATAAATCATAACATCTAAACAAGATGCGCGGTAGACCCATTTTTGGGTATGGAAATTCGGAAAACGACAGACTGAAAACGCCTGTTATTTACTCTTACATTTTGTTTCAACACTTTATTGCATAAAAGAGCCAAAAATATATACAAAAAAATGGGCGGCCTTATCGCTACCAAGAGATCTCTAGCAGACAACCCAAAAAAGTTTATACTGGTTTTTACTCCCATCTTGATCTGACGATTTCTAGACTTTGTCTGCAACAACAGTAAAATTAAATCCTCTATGTTAATGTGCATGTAATTTTCGATGTTCATAAAAGCTTTGAAATATATGCAGTAATTGAAAGCTCTGCTAGTGAGGTAGAAACATGATTTTTCCATTAATAAAGCCATATTAGCATATGGCTGATTAAAAAATATGCCCACTTAAATTTTACAACTTATAAAGATTGCATAATCTGTTATATTAACAACGAGAAACATGCACAAGCATGTTTAAATAATTACCTGTATCAATAATCTGCAAGATCGCAAACAGTAGACGTGGTACATTTGCAATTTGTATTTTTCCATTAATTTCATCAGATAACAGTATACCACTTTTGGCAAGATGTGCTAAAAATAACCAGATTGAATAAGCAATGTCGAAAATAGCGTTGCTATTTTTAGACTGGGTCAAGTAACATTATTCGGGTTATTTTTGTATCTTGGACTTAAAATAACCAGTTTGCTCAAAATAACGTATAAGAAAATAATTTCGCAAGCAATCCTATTATAATATATTTAATGGCGGTTTTAAAAATAGCTTGTTAAAAATGGTTCTTCAGTCACCTGCTTAATTTAAATCGGATCAAATAAACCCACAATTACTTCAAGTTTTTCTATATCTTATGCCAGCCAATGCAACACTTATTCTGTTTTTAGGAAGAACGGAGTTTGTGATAGAAGCGAAAAGGGACAAAGAAGTCTTCACAGTAACGAACGGAACTCTACCAGTGATAGTAGTAAGACCTTCGAGGCTCATAGACAAGCTTTTTACCAGCAGTGTTGCTACTTTCGTAAGTATTTAAATTTTTCTAATTGTAGACAGACACGACGCGGACGGTTGCTCTAACCAACTGACCTACCGCGTCCTACAGGTCATCGTTGAATTTTTAAATTTGAATACATTTTTAATTTCTATAGTGCAATAACATGTGAAAAATATTAGTTTTAAAGATTTTATTGCAAAACTAGTTTAATACATTTTATTAGTTAGTGGAAATCATGAAAAATATTTACTAGCTGTAACAGTGTCTTCACGTAGGATAGTTATGGTATCAAAATGCGTTTTTTTTTAACTCTTCCTTATCTTTCTAAATTATAGCTGTTAAGTGTTACCCAGGATTTCCGCCGCGTTCCGATGTTAGAAATTATTTTAAAGAGAATGATCATTCTTTCATACATATTTTTCCCCCTCAAAGAGTAAACCCTCAACGTTGAATAATTTTTCCCGTTTTTCATATTTCCCACTATATAATATAATATAATATAATATAATATAATATAATATAATATAATATAATATAATATAATATAATATAATATAATATAATATAATATAATATAATATAATATAATATAATATAATATAATATAATATAATATAATATAATATAATATAATATAATATAATATAATATAATATAATATAATATAATATAATATTAAATTAAATTGACACACCTTGAGCAGTCTGGTCCTACGTGAGACCTAGTATAGGATAGTTTAGATCTTTAATTATAGTCGCAATTTTATTTTATTGCAAATTATTTGTCTATAAATAATTGACAGTTACAATGGATTGAGTAAGTAATCGATAGATGGCACTGCTATGGTAAACTGACAAACGTGTCATATAAGCTACAATTCAATAGATGAAATTATTTATATGGCAAAACAACGTTTGCTGGATCAGCTAGTATATTATAGGTGCTAAGAACTAAGCCTTCTTCGATAAATGCATATAAGCAACCCAAAAGGAATTTTTCAATTGGAACCAGTAGTTCCTGAGATAAGCGCGTTAAAAAAATCTTTATAATATTAGTACAGATTATTACGTAAGACAGCTAGACGAAATAGGAAATCTATGTCTAGTAGTGACATGTTTTTGTGCCTAATTTTTTGCTGCACTCTAAACAATGTAAAATTGCTGCCCACTAAATTCTCAAGTACCTACTAATCAAACAGCGAATAAAAAATGTCCACCTGCATAAAATACCAATTTTTTCGTTAGATTACACATTCAATTTATGTACGAGTAACTTTTTTGTTTGATATGCGCGTGCATTGTTTATTAAACAAGTTTGGCTAGATGGCTGTAAAGTTCAAGGTTCTAATTTGGGCAAATTAATTAATAACAGTTGTATTTCGTGCTTACTTTATTTAATTGCAAGAACGTTTCGGTAGTGGCTTTTATATTTGTTTCGTCTTTCTTGTTATCCATTAATTTATACGCAATTTTTCTCTCTTTAAATCTACTTTACGTTTTAAATATAACATACATATTTACTTTACATTATAATTATAAAAAATCGACTAATGTAGATAAATAAAAAACAACGGTTTAAAACGCGTCATATATTATATTATATCCACCAGTTACCAAGGCTGCAGCATCCGAAATGTCGGTGGTTAAATTAATTTAAAAATAAATTGACAAATAGTTAGCGTTTTAAACCCTTAAGTCTTCTATTTAAATGACTACTCGCTACACTACTTCGAATATCGTATAATTATTGAAGTTATCCTTAAAGGTGATTAAGCCGTTCCAACTTCTTTACCAGAACGGAGTATGCGGCAGAAATATTTCTGTGTCCGTTCCACTGATCGCTTGAAACCGGTGTTTGTACATTTCCCTATTCGACAAACAATTTAATAACCAATGACCTCATAAATATAGGAATTATGTCTTTTCATTAGGGTTTTCCCACATACAAGTAATGCTATCTTTACGTTTCGCTATAGCTGGCAATAGTTAATTGGAAAACAATATGTGACCTGACTTGACCTCTATTATCAAGCGCGATATAACAGACGTAAAATTATTGTAGCTTTATGACTGCCATGAACCATTTAAATGCGTATTAAAATTTTAGAGATAGTTTTAAAATTCAAAACACGATTACTTGAAACTAATATCGATTACAAGAAAGGTCTAGATTTCAACTAATTCACATTGTAAAGTCTCGAATAACCTGTTAGAAAATTACAATTAGACGAGCTAGTGCTGTAACGCGTTACGTAACGAAGTGCGTATCTTCACTTAACCCCTGAAATTGTGGGTTAGAAGGAAAACTTCATTATTCTAATAATTATATGTTAGTTCGTACACCGAAGTTTAAAATACCTTAAACTAAATGATGATTCGAACAACAAAATACTACGGTCCCACTACTCTGACTAGGACTTGCTTGTTATAAGATGATACAAGACTATATATAATTTTTCTGTTTATCTTCACAAGAGAACGCATTTAAATGCACACAAGAAATATAATATTTTGAATAACACAATACTTTAGCGTATTAAAATAATTAAACAATCTGACTTGACTAGCAAGTAGTACATTTAAAACGCGATATATTAGTTAAACTTATAGTTGAACTAATATATCGCGTTTTAAACCGTTAAAGTGTTTTATTTATCTGACTTATCTCGGGAAATTTCTAGCAAACAATTGTGCCAAAACACCTAGAATTCTTAACTAAACTAAATTAAAATTTGAAGTAAACGTCTACAATAAATATAAACTAAAGTTTTATACGTTTGTGTTATAATGTAGTACTTAGTATGATATGTAGCTATGAGGAATATTATCTATGTATTTTCTATTCGCTATAATTCAATCTATCTGTACAATCTAAAATATATTATTTTATATTTTAGAGATAGATAAATTGATTAATAGTGTAATATTAAAAAAATGATACCCGTATATTTAGTGTTAATTTGGTTTTAAAATGTATGTATGTGAATGTTTAAAAATGCTTTTGTGTTGTGCAAAAATTTATACTATACACACAACGGTTGAAAATTTAAATTTAAAAGTGAAAGCCCGTTTCCCCCTCATGGGGCATGGGGCGAACGCATTTTCTGTGTCCATTTCACTGGTCCGTTCTCTTTAACAGGCAAGTAGTTGATCAGACTTCTGTGCCCTACCCGACCGGAACAACTTTTTTTTGTTCCCCTGGCATTTGAACCCAGGACTTCTCTCGCGCTTGACGCAATGCTAGGCAATACGTTTAACCATTTGGCTACAGAAGCGAACAAACAAAAATTGCAATTTACCTAGCTTAATTTTAGAAAAATGTTTAAGACAGTTCTATTTACCCAATTTTCAAGACTAGACGTTATACACGATTACCAGAACTGAATACCAGAATTGTGGTACTATATGCATGTTAATGAAATCGATCAGAAACGGACGCAGAACTGTGTTCGCCGCAGTCTCGACAACGACATTAAACTAAGATGCAGTAAATATCAGCGGAAGTAACCTGTCATACGTAGTTATTCACAATATGATTACCTAATTAAGTGAACAAAAGAATATATTTTATTCGTATAAAAATGCTAATTAACTTAATAAATTGTCCAATCTAAACGCAATAATTCACACAGTTCAATGTTTGTTTATACTACGCGATTCATGCATAAGCGAGATATGATTTTATAATTACTTTATGCAGTAATTTTTAAATCTAAAGATGGCGTCGAATATTTTGGCTTTAAATAAAACACTTTTAACGGTTTAATACGTATCGCTATATTTCGGGTTCCTGCAATTAAAAGGTGTACGATGTAACTTATTGTTATATTTATCGTAATTGAATATCAATAATTTAATATTTCGCGTTTGGAGCTGTTAAAAGTATTTTCTTTTAATTACAGAGAAAATATTACAAGCTTTATTCATAGTAAAGCGTTTACTATTACAACTAAAATTACATTAAAAAAGGAAAAGAAGGCAAACTAGTTGCCTTTAGGTATGTCTAACTTATAAGGGGGCGTTGGGTTCGAAGCCCGCATATAAAAAACAAAGGATCTGTGTAATCTTTGTTAATGTTGCCTATGTTTGCTTTTATATAGGTGACACTAATCTTCATAAACTTCGGTTGTGCGATGCACTGGCCTACAGTTAAGGAGGTGATAATAAAACCAGTCGGGCCAATCATTGGGATGTGTGGACAGTTTCTATTTATGCCGCTTGTAAGTAAAATATATTTTATTTTAATCCATTCCTGTACTACTGCTGTGCCTACACCTAGTGAGCTTTAGGTTACCTTTATATAGAGGAATGAGTTTAAGACCTTATATCCACCAGGCACCACCAGTGCGGGTTGGTGGGCTTTAATGACTACTACCATTAAATTCATGATGCTAACCATGGCTAGGCTCGTTATGATGACAACTACCTTCATGCTTATATTAGTACCTGAAACTTAAAACTATCGTCTTAATTATCGTCTGACATTTCTCTCACAAGGAAATATTAGCAAAAATACGTTACGGTACATAGTGGTCAACGGAGTTGGCAAAGCTTGTTTAAGAATCATGTCCTATTCGAAATGTAAATATGTTATACTTAGTGCGACTTATAATTATGAAGATTCTTGAGTTCTAAAATTTAATATTTGTTTTAAATCGGCTGAATTATATATTAAATAGGATTTCAAAGACACAACTTGTAAATGCAGAACAAGTCCGACGAATCTATAGGAAGCACCTATGCAAGGTGCTTCCTATACATTCGTTGGACTTACGTGACATTAGAAGTGGGATTACTTATTTTTTCAGATATCATTCGGACTCAGCTACGTGATATTTCCGAACTCAGCGGCCATGCGTCTAGGCATGTTTTGTACGGGCGTGTCGCCAGCCGGTGGGGCTTCCAATATATGGACTTTCATTTTGGGAGGAAATCTCAATTTGTCGCTCGCTATGACGTCAATATGTACGTTGGCGTCTTTTGGTGAGTCCACATTATGATAATATACTTTCTGCTTTTGTTTGGTCGCGTATGCCCAACATCTCCTGATTCTCAATTTAAAATGACAATAAGACATTAGTGATTTTATAATAATATCTTTATTATATGCTTACCAGTAAAAGATAAATGTTTTTAACTGCGAAAGCAGTTCTTGCTTAAAGTAGAAAGTAGTTTAGTGCTCAATATGGAAACTAAAGAGCCGCAATTAAGTAAATGCAATGAATGAAAAACCAGTTCTGTCAACGTCCTAACGAGCTGCGTGTCAACTCTTCCTTTAATTGATTGTTGTTCAATGCTGTGAAATGCCATCTCTCCCTCCTATTTTTGCAAAATACCTCTATGGTTTTCCGCTCTAGTTACAAACAATAAGATGTAAATAAATAGACGAATGCAATGTTTGATAGTTCTTACTTGAGTAGGCTAGTAAAAACTATCAAACCTAAAAGATATGTGAAAAGTCGTTTTTAAGGTTCACACGTTCAAATAAACAAACTCGCGATGTTTATGGTTTTCAATATTATCTCTTCAAGTATAAGACAATGTGTGAATATTCTTACTGTTCATAATGTTATTTCTTACTTTACAATGTAATGTAATACTTAAACTTCTTTTTTTAATTCATCCAAAAGGTAAATAATCAATGATTTGAAAAGGTTCCGTCGCTCAAGCACAGAGTTAGATCAGGAAACTTAAGGAATTTTGATTATATACCTAGGTACGAAATGCCGCTAACGAGCAATTCATATGACAAACGTACCTGGCAGTACGTGTTACTTGAACGACTTAGACAGTAATACGGACTACATGCTGTTGGGATAGGCCGGACAGATGCAGGGGGACTTTAAAGAGCTTTTACAGATGTAGTGTGTCTTAAGGTACCGAAGCCGAAAAAGTCGCTAGACGGTCCCTTTACCGGTTGAAATTATATTAAATAAAACGATGTATGTAAAAAAGTTGATAAAAAAAAAATAATGGCACTTAAAATACAGAGTATTTTCCCAAACACTTATGATGAAAAAAAAATTAAAACATTTTTCTTTACTTTTTCAGCTTTCATGCCAGCGTGGCTTTTCTCGCTGGGCCAAATCGTGTTCAACAACGCCAACATAGTTGTGCCCTACAAGCATATAGCTTACTTTGTGGCGTGTCTGATCGCGCCGCTAGCTATAGGGCTGTCAATGCAAAAATTCACACCCAGAATAGCGGCGTTTATGGTGCGGATATTGAAGGGGTTTTCGACAACCCTACTGCTGTTTGTCATCGTGTTTGCAATCATCACGAACCTGTATATATTTGAGCTCTTCACTTGGCAGGTATTTTGATTTTCGTAATTAATTATTTCACATATGACCTCGTTTTTACTACTTTAAAAAATATCAAAGCCATACTCAGCACTACTTCGAGGCACTTTTTTTATCATAAAAATAAAGTAATTTAAGACTTACTAACTTAAATGCAATTTACGCTCGTAGCTTACGCCAAAAAAAAAAACAACGAATACAGAGGATTATAAACGGCGAGTCGTACTCGAGTTGCAATAAGTTCAACAAACATAATCGTGGGTTAATTAGAATTTAAATTTGTAGATGTATTAACTTTACATACCATGTTACTTAAAAAATATTTTAATAATTGCTATATGAGAATACATATCTAATAACAGTATTTACCTTGTCATCGTTTACCACCAACATTTTAGTTATAAGTATAAGCGTATGTCCAAGATCGCATCATCTTCAGATGTTATATAGCTGGAGTATTTCACCTTCCATCCAGTCTCCATAATTGTCTGTCCTCCTTGATTATAAAAATCAATACCCTTTGAAATGTATCGTTTCCAGATTATCGTAGCAGGCATGGGCATACCCTGGCTAGGATATGCAGCGGGATATTTGGTGGCTGTTGCGTGCAAACAATCCCACCCCGACGCGCTGGCGATATCGATAGAAACCGGTATACAAAATACCGGTATTGCGATATTCTTGCTCCGGTACGCGTTACCGCAACCAGAAGCTGATCTGACCACTGGTATGTATAACAGAATATACAATCTATACTAATATTATAAGCTGAAGCGTTTGGTTGAACACGCTTATTTCAGGAAGTACTGGTTCGAATTGAAAAATTATTTTTGTGTTGCTTGAACCATTTATTGAGGAAAGCTTTACGCTAAATCCGGATGCGACCGGAGCGAAGAAACAATTGAGGGCATTGTGGAAAAGACACGGAAATGATTCACCTTTGATAGTTTCCGTTGCGTGTGCTGCGAAAACGGTTTAAGATTCACAATAATATAAATAAGAGAACTCTTCTTCTCGAATAATTAAAATAAAAGTCCGCGTCTATCTTTTAACATTAACTTACTAAAAACGTTGTCGTGGTAATCAAATTTTCGTCGATATACTTCACATGGCTAAAGAACGTTCTCAGATCACCTAGTTTATGTATAGATAGTAATACAGTAATTATTTACACAACCAATCGCATTGCTAGTGCAGTTAACGCGTCAGCTTGTTAGGGGATTGACTTTGATCTCCAAGAAAATATAGAAAATGTTTGGTCTGGTAAGCCATAAAGACTTCCTTATTTGCTTGTACTAAAAGGTATTAGTCAGACATACAACTATGTCGGCTCCGCATGTGACTATTAAATCCAAAAAAGCTGGCATAGTACCAAACATCAATCTCGACCTTCATCTACTTATTGTAGTAAATACTTGACGTGACTATTTATGACGGCAAAAGCGCGTAACGTAATTCTTTTCGTCCCGAGATGTATTCGTATTTTTTCCCCACTGCATTGACATTTAAATGTTAAACTAATTGTAGCTAAAACAAGTTTTTTAATCTGTTATTATAGAAGCTAGTCATTTGTAACTATTATTATAATATGTCTTCAAGTAACTATGCAGTCTACATATACAAGTTTTAAACCTTTTTTACTGGCTTTATTTTTTTTTTTTTTTTTTAGTTGTGCCAGTCGCAGTGGCCATAATGACGCCAATCCCGATGACTATTATATACATATACCAGAAGATAAGAGGATGGTATGTATTATTTGAAACCTTTGAGCTTCTCCGTTTCTCTTTTGGGTGCTTGTTCATTTGAGATGTGAAAAAAAATGATTACATCCAACATAACTTTTTACTTTATCATATTAATATAATTTCACTTATATAAGAAGAGACTTATACAAACATTTTTTATTACAACTAGAATGTGTGTATTATTTACGTATAAGTTATGTCCTTCTTATGTTTTGCTATTAATAAATAGTGTTTCTTAATTGGAGAAGTTTTTTTAGCAGTGTTATAAAACATTTTCTAATAATTAATAACTATTTCTCTTCTTGTATGCGGAGTTAAATGTTTTATTTTCCAACATTTGATTCAAAATTAATATTAAACAAGTGTGCTGTGAATTTTGAATTATGGGATATTTTTACTGTTTTCATCTGTGTATATGCATTGTGTGTTCAATATAATCCCTAAGAAATATTTATTTACCAAAAAGTATGTATTCTAAAAGGAGTGTTTTATTTTTCATATGTCATCAACATTTGCGATGTTCGATAGTTTGGGAGGTACGCGTACGTATACAAACGAAAAATTTGTTCGGTGGCGGAGCTTTCGGAGCTTATCCTTATCTTAATACTTAAAAATGACAGAGACAGAAGATTTTCTTTCACCTATCCCTTTATAATGGTGAAAAAAGCATCATTGTATTGTAAAGTATTCAGATAAGGATATAAAAAAGTGAAGTTTGGCTTAGCAAAAGCATGGGTCATTGGGATTTGTATTTGTTAAGTTGTACATAGATCTTTAGTGTATACGGACTGTATGTGCATGTTGGCTTATAAAAGTGCGTATGCGGTTATTAGGTAGATAAGGATTTATCTAAAAAAGGCATTAAAAACATATAAAATCATAATAATTTATAGTGTGACTGGTATTCTTGTGGCGTTTTGAGCAAAATAGAACTTACAATTAAATCTGTATCAGTATTTTAAACCTGATTTTTATTCTACGATACATTTAAGTTGTATATTTTTTTTGTAATAATATTTAGTTAATATATTTCGATACCGCATGCCTTTAATTTAATATTAAATTCGAAGTACTCAGGGAGTGGGAATCTTAATTAAATTAATACATTGCATGCAAGGTATGCGAAACTGTTCTATGTCTGTAAAAATCAAGCGTAAACCGCTTTGCATTATTGTATCAATCTGTGAAAATTTTGGTAACTGTGGCGTCAGCATATTCGTAGAAATAACTTTGGCCAGTTTTCGATTTGAGAATATAATTTCAGAGATCTCGAATCCGTAAATCGTACCGGTGTATTGTTTGAAATTTTCTTGACACTTTTAAATGTCATCTTTACAAATCCGATAGTAAAGTACTTCTCCGATATTAGTTATTTTCTAGCTCATTTTTTAAATTAAAACTGGCTGATAGTTTTTAAAAGTTAATATATAATGTCATGTATATAATATGACTGTCTGCCAAATTAAGAGCGGAGATTAAATTACTCATGATTACAGCTTCAGACGAAGAATCGAGCACAAGAAAATCGTCGAAGATATCGCGCCAGTATCAGAAGGAGCAAGCACCGGCGTCGATGGAGCCACTGATGACGCAAAATAAAGAGGTCTAACATAGTTTTAAGCTCTATACTGTCATGTGAAAGAGTGAGATCTTTTGTAACTTTTTGTTACCTGTCTTTGTCGCCAAGTTCCCGCCAAAAATCTTGGCTGCCAGCACTTTTGCAATAGATCAACATTTTTAATGATGTAGATGACATCGTATTTGACATTATGATTTTTGACAATTTACATAAGCTCTTTCACATTTCTCACTCTTTCGTGATAATAACTCGCAATTGAAAATTGAACGGAATTTTATATTGTTTTATGTTACATCAATTGTCTTTATACAGAGATTCCTCAGAGCCCATGGAATAACTAATATTTTTGAGATCGTAAACAAACTAATTAGCTTGTAATTTTGGAATCTTTATACATGTTCTTATAATACGGCCGACGTAACTTGGCAAGTCTGATCTTAGCGCGAAACGCTGCGCAGAAATGTTCCTTAGGATGTTAACGGTGGTAAGAGCGAGGTGCGCGGGACGGAGATCTAGGCTAGAGATTGACCCATTGTCAACACAATCGACCGTTTATTCTATAAAATTTCGTAATCGAATTTTATCGATTTTGATTATGAATTTTTAATCGTATGGGATATTGTAATAAATGGATTTATCAGCACAATTAATGGTGTTATTAATAAATAATACCATGACGACTTTTAAAGGAAAATTAAATTATTAAAAACTTGTTTTTCTTTATTGAACGACGTGACTTAGTTAAATATGAGTTATTTTTTATATAATTACTGTTTTTACCTTCTTTAAAGCTTTTTTTACAAATATATTTCTACGATGCAATTTTGTCTATTTCAACAGGAATCGATTAAATGACACCCTCAAGGAACGAGTATGGACACCTCTATTTGGTTATTTCGTAAAGCTTCGTACATATTCGGTAAACAGTAGTGTGTCTCGGTCAGTCCTTGGCGTTTATTTCGTTATCTCTGTCTTGAGCGCAGTCCGTTAGAAAAGTGATTGTTTATTGTTAAATTTAATACTAACATTTCTTTTTTGTTATATTTATATTTTGTCTCAGTATTTTATTGAAAGATATTCTTTTTGAATAAATTATTAGTATGTTACTTACATTTATCCCAGTAACGAAAATAAATGGCATTATCAGTTTTTTTTACGAGTTGCCAAAGTTCGTCTAACCTCTGTTCAGACTTGCCAAGTTACGTCGGCCGTATTATACGTGATTCTTGCAAGAAACAATTTCTGATTAAGTATACACTTTTAAGTAAATTTAATTATAACTGTGTGGAATGACAATATACACTGTCCAGTTCTAAGTTGAGTAAAATATTTTAAATTTAAATCCCTTTTTAAATCAGAAGTATTAATACAGTCTTCGTTTTATTATACATTGAAACAATGTCTTCTTATAGTTACGTTTCACTTATTGTTGGCATTTCACTAGTTTAATAATGATACAGTATAATTATTAAATTTGATTAAAGTACATTATTTCTGCTATCAATAGAAAGTAATTTGGTGAATAATAAGAAATTCCAATGCCCTTATCATAGGAATAGGAACCGACGCAAAATATTTCCTCTTGCTTATTTCTTAATTTGGTAACTTTTGCCGTCGCATTTTTTTCTTTTTGCTTCTATTAACAGCATTTAATTAACTGCAGGAAGAGTTTTGGTCATCGTCATCTTAACATTGGAGTCATCAGTAAAACAACTTAATTGCTCTTCAAAATTATTTACGTTCACATTTAGACCAATATATATATTTAAGATGTTGTAAATGAAGTTATATTTATTTATCTGCATTTTAGCAATATATGCTTGGACATTCTGATTTGATTATATAAATTTATTTTTTAATGTTTGCATCTGTGTATTATCCATATTTTTTATTTATTATCTGCTTAAAACGCATGTTCATTTTGATCAAGCATTGGTATTAATTCTTGTATCTGAAATCATTAACTATCATTCAAGACGTAGGTAGTTTTACACTTAGGTTTGTCCTCATAATGGCCTAGTTTTTTATGAAAAAGGACATATCAATATGGGTATTCCGAAATCGTATTTCTCGAATATACAGCGATGGATAATATTTTTTTATATGTAATATTAATGTCTAGGACGTCTCGAATAAAAAGCCTTCATATGTTTTGGCTCTAATTGTCAATTGAAGACGATTACTTTTAGTGTGAACTCGTATGATTTGATTAAATTTTATTAATTGGAATCGAGTTTGAAATTGTATATTTCATATATATTGTTATGTTTGTTATGCGAAATTTTATGGCAAAAATGTTTTTTTCTATTTATTATGTTATGTAATTATTGATATATGTGTTTTATTGGAAATATCCTTCTTAGATATGAATTCCCAGTATGGTCACCTATAAATTCGGTTTTAACGTTTTACAATGTTAAGGTTATTATTTTTTTGAGTTGGCAATAATATTTTATAATGTGCTTATTATTTTAGAGATCTCAGATTGGTTAAGTCTTTAAGAGGGGTTAAATGTCATAGAGTAAACGAGGTTACACCAAACTACTCACAAATGTGACATATTTGACACTTCTTCAATGGACAAAGGTTTTTTATAAAGAAATCAGTCATACAGACAAAATGATAGGAAATAATTTTAAAATACAATAGTATCTACAATTGTAGGACCATTATATGTACCTCTAAGAATAAAAATTATTTATTATCAAAATAAAACTGCCAACAGAATTAACAAGCTGTCTCTTTCAATCAATCGAATTCTTATATAAAAGAGAGAGACGAACATATGTCGTGACTGCTTTCTTTATTAATATGTTGAAGTTCACATGACTCGTTTATAGGTGAAACAGATGTGAAATGACTGTTTTGTGGTTGTTATGAGATCAGTATTTGTTAAGTTGTAAAATGTATTTTTTTAAATACATATTTGAGAGATAAGCATTTTGTTTCATTAAATTTGTCTATCCCATACACTTAAATTATTATCGGAACCAAAACAGAATCTCTTTTTGCCTAGGTAATGGCTAATTTGAATTCTTTACTTGATTTATTTTTTTCTAAAGACCCCATTTTGGTTGCAGAAAAAATTTACTGCTACTTACAGCGGCTACTTCGAAAAGGACTTAGTTACTAGTTTGCGTTAGGTATTAACCTTGTTTATCAAAATTGTAAACCCCCAAAGCATTTCTCTTTTAACAATGTGTACTGTACACGAGAATGTGCAAGGTTTAACACATTGAAAATAATTTTATACACTGTGTGTTATTACAGACATAATTAAGGCATTGAATTCACAGATACGAATCAAAATTACTCTGCGCAACATATTTAATCCTATCGATTACGATATTCTTAATCCTGTACTTAGCTGCGTGAATAGCGTTAAAAGTGGCCTTATCGTGACATAATATTAATTAACATATAACATTTATCGTTTATCTCTACGTGAGGCAGCACACGAGATATCCGATATCAATCGATAGACGATAACCATAATTATTTCTAATTACTATGAACCTTATGCCCTTGTAATAAAAACCCGATTATCTAAGAATAGTTTTGAATATTAATGTCTTAAAACAAAAGACATTCGCGGTCGTTGCGCGAATCTGTGTTATTGTGTTTTATAGAAGTTATTTTTAGCACGATCAAAAAGGTAAATCTTATATTAGCTAATAAAAACTACTTTTGGGCCATAATATTTTGTGACTAAATATAGACATACCATACACAGAAACCTAAAGGTGGTGTGCGTCATCGACTGGACTTAATTACGATTAACAAGCTATTATTTTGAAAGAAAATTTTCAAAGAGTTCTTTATCTTTTTCTATATTTCGTTTACTTAACGCGGCCTACTAACCACGAGTGAGATTCTCTCAACAATTGTAAGTCAAGTGATAGATAAACGCGATAACGTTACAAAGTAAATTTTGAGACTTCTTCAGTTGTATTTGTTATCAACGTAACCTGTTTTAATTGCAATTATCTTTTTACGGAACAAGCCATGAATATTAAATATTAAAGTTATCGAACTCACTGTATGGCGAAGCGCGTATCTATTGCACGGTAAATATGAAAATTAGTATTATTGATTTTAAGTGGATTAAAAGTAATCTTAATACTTAAGCATTAAGGTTGAAAATACACTGAGCGTGAGATTTAAGAAATTCGATAAAATCGTGTGTGTTGATGCCGGTTCACTTCCCGCCCGTGACATTATTTTTTTATCTAAAGTAGACTTTATATTTAAGTAAAGACTCGTTGGTGTAATGGTTGCAATCTGTGGCTAATAATCGACAGATCGTGGGTTTGATCCCCGACGGGTCTAAATTTTTTGGAATCAATTTATAATTTTTCTAATACATGTTGGTCTTTGTCTGAAAATCTGTATATTAAACGGTTGGCAGGAATATAGAAATTCAATTTTCTTCGATTTACGAAGCACACCGGCCTTAGATGGAAAGTAGTCGAGTTTAATCGCGTTGATTAGGTCTGTCGATTTCCTGGTTCCATGTTATATGGCTGTGTTTCGCCTACCATCGATTAAACCCCCTGCTCGTCTGTCATCCTCTATAATAAAAACATAATGTAATTTTAGTTAGTAAAGGAAGTAAATTTTTGGATATATCTTCGTTATCCAAAGGCATTTAAAGCAAAATGCCTTTCCTTCAATAAAAAGAGAGATTTTGTATATCTGCATATCTTGTGTTATAAATAGAGTATAACATCAACATCAACATTAAATGAAAGAAGCCCTTTTTATTTTAGGTACTAAAATGAGATTTCTACTGCTAACACTGGGATGCATCACAGCTCTTCAAACGGTAAACTGTCAAGCATCAGACACGGTCGCTTTGTTCGATAAAGACGAAGTTTTGGTGCATATGAATGAATATGACTACGTAAATTTTAATGTCTCAGGTAATGTAATTGTAAGATATGTTAACTCTGTAATTTCATCTAGAATATTTTTTTAATCCTGCGATGCAAGAGAAATTGAAGCTTAATATGAAGTGTTAAGGTTAAAATTACATTGCGCGAGAGGTGCATATGTATCAATAAGTTGAAAAAATAAATCGGCGATGAGTACACCACATCGTCGGCTCACGGTGGCTCAATTGGTTAGAGCAACAGGACGAAACGCTATGGACGCCGGTTCAAATCCTGCCCTAGGCGTATTTTTTCATAATTGATATTTAATTCGTGTTCTGAGTACTTTTTAAAACGACAGTTAAACACAAGTAATAACTTTAGTATTCTAATAAACATTTTAAACTCTTACTACCTGAACATTTAGCTATAGGACCTTAAATAAAACACTTTAACGGTTTAAAACGCGAAATATAGTTTAGCGTAGTTATATACAATACTTTTGAAATAAGTGTAACTAATACATTACGCGTTTTAAACCAATTAAGTGTTTTATTTAAATGTGTACAGGTAGTATAGGAACTTAGATGTACTAACAGGCCTTCTTAGGCCTTATTATCTTATGTCAACTAAATTATTCGTATTTTTACTTCGTCATTGTACATCTTATCTAGGTTTATAATTGTTCTAGTTAATTTTTTTTAGTAAGAAAGTCTCGTCCCCTTTCATAACTCAATGCGTGGCGTTGTGTATTGCGTTAAGCTTGAAAGGTCCGGGGGTCGAATCCCAGGAAAATGATACCTTTTAAAGCAGGATTTGTGAGCAAAAACTTGTCAATAAAAGAAATCGATTTCCTAAGCGGGCACAGAAATATGTTTATGTGTAATGGGACTTTACACGATCAATGTAATTTTTTTTTCTACTGTTCTAATACCATTTGGCGTATGAAGTTTGTTAATAAGACAAATTCTAAAGAACTAAGATCACAAAAGCCACTAAGTAACTTAAATTACTAAGTTAATAACTATATGACATATGAGGCCGCTAGAGGCAGAGTAGCCTAACTGCAATATATGACTTGTGTGATGAATGATGTCCAAAATGTTGCCACAGTGACCGAAAAATTTTCTCCTAAGTTAATTGCACATTTATAGGGTCCTCCTAATTGAAAAATCATGCTTTTTGTTATTAGGCCACTCTACCTTTAGCAGCCTTATACAATGTCAATTATGTTAATTAATTGGAAACTTATTAATATTTAATTTTCATATCTAGGCCCAAGTTTCGAAGTCAATGATGTGATAGTGGGGATATCAAGAATGGAAAAGCACGTCACAGTCGAGTGGAACTCAACCTACCGGCTCACACAGGAGGACGTGGATAGAGGAGTATTTGAAGGGAGATTTCGTGTCAATGGCAATTTTCTTGGTATGAATTCTACTCCTTTTCATAACAAAACGTTTATTCCATATACAATAAAACAATAACTGTATATATTAAATAAGATGCATCACCACTCATCTTTTGTTGTACTTGGTCGATTCTTAGTGATATCTCTTTTTTATCTTATGTATGAGTAAGAGTGACAGAGATAGTGTAATGCGTTACGATTCTCTCTATAAAGTATTAATTTTAATAAGTGAATATTCAACCTAATTCTAGTTTTTTTTTAATTTTCAGGAAGAACAGAGGTGTTGGTAGAAAGAAGACAGGGAGACGTACGCCTGTCTGTAAATGGTTCGCTTCCTGTAACTGTTATCAGACCTCAGCGACCAATTGACAAAGCCTTCACTGTCAGCGTCGCTGTATTTGTAAGTAAAAAGACAATTATTGTTGTTTCCTTCTCTTTATATATATTTTTTAAGATAGAGGAGGACAAACACTTGATGGTAGTGACCCTAGTCATATAACATCTATCCATAAGCAAGATTCTCTGTCGATCTATTTTGGCCTTGGATATTCGGAAATCTGCAGACGTAACCTGATAAACTTAATGGCCTTTTCAGCCGTGGACGTTTGTTCGTCAAACGGAAGGAATTCCGATATTCCACCACCCATTTATCCAGATATCCAGACTTCCAGACGAAGTCCAAAGTGTTTCAGAAAAGTTGAAAAAAATTTAGGGCCAAAATAGGGATAGAACTTGTTTTGTCTATACTACAAATATATTAAAGGGTCTTCGTCTTTGCAGGTGTCCCTCATCTTCATCAACTTCGGGTGCGCGATGCACTGGCCCACTGTGAAGGAGGTACTGAAAAGGCCTCTGGGACCAGTCATAGGAATGTGCGGTCAATTCTTATTTATGCCTCTCGTAAGTTTTTAACTTTATGTGATTTTACAACACTTTACACTTTACTCAATATTTCTAATCTATTATTGAATTATTGGACTGTATTTATTTTGAAAATCATTTCTCCACAACGTACGCTGTTGTAATATATCGATTCCCCCCGTAGGTCTTGCGGCGAACATTTCTTATCTGTTTCACGGATAGGTTCTTTTACAAACAATTAGTTTATTAGTCTATTCACCTGCCCGACGAAAACTATTTATTGTTTCCTTGGGATTCGAACACTGGAACTCTCGCACAAAATGCTAGGCAACACGTAACCATTTGGGTACAGAATACGCTAAAATATACTCGTACGCTGTTTAAGACATCAATTATATTTGGAAAATTATAATAAAAAATAAGTCACTTAACATTTTGGAGATTGCTAAGTTATGACTCAAATTGAATTTTATAAAATAAAGCTTTAATGATTTTTTTTTCAGATATCATTTGGTCTTGGCTTTGTGTTATTCCCGGATTTACCAGCCATGCGGCTGGGCATGTTTTTCACGGGCGTTTCACCTGGGGGTGGGGCTTCTAACATTTGGACTTTTATTTTGGGTGGAAATCTCAATTTATCTCTCGCTATGACCTCTATATCGACAATTGCTTCGTTTGGTAAGTTATTGTTGACGTTTAAATATTACTACTGCAAAGGTGACACCTAAAATTTTTTAGATATCCGTACGTATATAGCTGCTGCTAAGAATTTAAATAAAATAATTTAACGGTTTAAAACGCGAAATATTTGGTTCTACTTATATACATATGTCAAAACGTCGGGCCGTAAAATGATTTGTAAATAAAATTAACTAATATATTTTGCGTCGAACTGTTTTAAATTTAAATGTGTACTATTCGCGTAAACTAAAGACAGTGCTTCTAAGTATTTTTGAATTCTATAAGTTCTCATTGAAGAATTATAAATATGAAAGGTTTGTAAGGTATGTTAGATTTTTATTCAACCTTTGAGGTAGTTAACAATAAATTTCGTTTATAGGTTTCATGCCAGCTTGGATCTTCTCTCTCGGCCAAGTTGTCTTCGCTGATGCCAACATTGTGATACCCTACGCTCGTATCGCGTACTTTGTGGTCGGCTTACTAGTGCCTCTAGTTATTGGACTTGGTATGCAGAAGTTCACCCCGAAAATAGCCGGTTTCATGGTGAAGATATTGAAAGTGTTCTCGACTACCCTCCTACTTTTCATTATTATTTTCGCTATTGTCACCAATTTGTACATCTTCGAGCTATTTACGTGGAATGTAAGTAATTGGTATAATTATTGATTTTGCACAGATTATATAAGAGTTGGTTCACTTGATAGAAAGTGCAATAACAAATCCACAGATTCAAAACGAAACGCGACTAAATCTCACGGCATTTTCATCTGTGAACGGTGGTTCGTGACTCGCATGGAATTTCGATATTCCTACTACCCATTAGTATCCCGAACCCACTACCCGTTGATTTTTAGCCATTTACTACTACCATTACACCAACGAGCCCGTCATCTAGTCAGTATAGTTATATGTTATATGGCTGGATGATTTCACCTTCAAACAAATGAGCCCCTTGTTTGTAACTAACTTTACCCAAAAAGGTCTAATGAACCCTTCACCAAGTGTCTGTTGTCTTTGCAGATAATCGTAGCAGGAATGGGTATTCCTTGGCTTGGTTACCTAGCCGGATATATCGTAGCTCGCCTTCTCAAACAAACGCACGAAGATGCTCTAGCCATCTCTATTGAGACTGGAGTACAAAATATGGGAATCGCTGTTTTCCTGTTACGTTACGCGTTGCCTCAGCCCGAGGCAGATCTTACTACAGGTGAGGCATTATAAATGTATACGCCTAGCATTGTTAAACGAAGGCCGCACATTAAGAGAAAGACAGTTTTGAAAATGTGCTGTTTCTCTAACCAATTTAGCTATCGTATCGTCTCATCGCCGAATATTTGTAAATATAATACATGCACCTCTCGCGCAATATATTTTTCAATTTTAACACTTGCACACCATGCTTTTATATAGATTTAACAAAAAAAATAGTACCTTCTTACATTAAAATTGTGATTTTCAGTCGTACCAGTATCAGTGGCCATTATGACTCCGTTTCCGATGATAGCAATCTTTATTTATCAGAAGATCAGCGGGTGGTATGTAAAATTATCATATAACTTTTAAACAATATAAAACACGAACCATATCTGTTGAGACATTCTATAATTACAACTATTTTTTAATATGTAACTTTTGTGTAAACTACAGATACAACAGTATTTATTTTGTCCAATGGTAATTTCTTACGAATTTTTCAGTATTCGTAATCGAATGAGGAGTAAAAAAATTCAACTGGCAACACAGGAAATAGAAATCGCAAGCAATGTAGCTGTCACAGATTCAAAACAGGCTTAGATTAATTGTTATTATAAATAATTATTTATTTTGTAAGAATGTAAATACTTAGTTCATATTAAAAATATTTATATATATTGTGTTTCAATCTCTATTTATAATTAGTAGTTAATTTCGTAGGTTTTATTAAAATAAAAATAAACGAAAAAAGTAATGTACAGAAACTTTTACGCTTTATGTTTAGATATTTAAATAAAACACCTTTAACGCCAAATGTATTAGTAACTTATTCACAATGTATTTTAACCGACTTTTAGTATGCTTATTAGCAATCGTGGTCATAGAGGGGTACAACTAATAAATTTCGGGTTTAAACCATTGTGTTGTTTTAATAAATTGTTGTAATAGGCGTAAGAAAATTTTAGTTACGAAACCATAGACACGAGACTCTGTGTAATAGAACCTTTGTATACAGAGACTTTTCAAAGCCAAATACTGCAAATTTAAAAATTAACAACTGTCAATCAAGTTCTTGTTACGTGACACCAAAACACCAGTTCCAATAAGCCGAAAATGAGAATAAAATAAGCAATATGTAAACCAAAATTATCCCAAAACTGCAGATAACTCTTTGAACGGCTAGCGACATGGGTAAGCCAAAATATGATCCACCAACAAATACCTTCCCCTATAAAATAACCAGGAGATTGAATATATTAAGTGTCCCTCGTAAATACATAATCGATACGGGAGAAGGGATGCCCGCTTTAAACCCTAGAGGGATTCGGAAATCGGCGTTGGGCGCTCAGATTACGGACAGAGTCGCGGATGTGGCATGGCCATACATACGGTAAGTATTTACGAGAATTATTTTAATAAACAAAAATCGTTTATTATTGAAATGTTTTATTTAAAACCGCGTTGTAAACCATAGTGTTTACTTTTAACGGGTCAAACGCGAATGGTATTAGTTTTACAAACTATTTTAAATTCTCCCGACCATGGCTGCTGCAAAGCATCCGGAACGTCGGGCCGTAATGAAATTAATTAGGGAACTTTGACTAATACATTTCTCGTTTTAAATTTTTTTTATTAGTGTTAACCACAAACAATACTTTAGTTTAGTTCCTATATGTATGTAGCGCAAAGTTTACTAGGACGTTACGAACGTGCCTTATAAATAAATAATATTTTAAATTTGCAGCCGTTTCCTTATAATAAAGCGCATGTACAAGAATCGCTTCAGTCAAGAACGAATCGAGAAGATAGATCGCATGATAGAGTCAGCCAACGCCACCTGTTATTCGAAACTCGCAAACTGCGTGCTAGATCTCAAGAAGCAAGACACCAAGGAAGTGAAGAAGAAACGCGGCTGGACCGAGAGCGAATGGAAGAAGCACATGGATTATATCGGCCAGATCGCTGGGCCTAGGAGGGACTTTAGACCGCCACCTATAAGGGTAAATAATTCCAACCATAATCTGCAGATTGCCTAGGTACTTTAAACTAGTTAAAATACGGGTCATAGTTTTCGTCATAGGTATGTTGTACCTTAAACTGTGTAAGGCCTTCACGGCCATCGTTCAGCATATCATTGTTTTTCGGGCTGTTCGGCCAAAGTGAGCGAGAAGAGGTTCTTTTCGCCATTACGAGCGGACGGCATCATCACGAGATGTTAGCTCCTCGATAGCTCGAAGAATTATAATAGTCTATACAAATGTTATGGTCTATTTGGTTGAGCTAAAGTTTCTTTTGATCGTTTTAATGTGTATTCAATAGAAATGTTTTGTTTCCCATTTACAGAGAGGACTCGGAAAGCCTCTAGAAGCCTTACTGCCACGAATCAACCAAATCTCTAACTTACCCGACTTCAAGATATATAGGAGATTGTCACAAGAGGCGTGGTACAGAGATCCGGTGAAGGTACACATATTATATTATGATTTGAGAAAATATTTTAAAAAGATTACTTCGTGACATGATAAAAAAATTGCCGATGGCGTGTAGGTACGGTAGCTCAATTGGTTAGAGCAACAGCACAGTATGCTGTAGATGCCGGTTTAAGTCGTGCCCATGATGTAAATTTTTTAATTACTTAATATAAAATTATTTTTAATTTTTAAGCTCCTATAAGTTTTACCCTGTCAAATTTAAAAAAACAGCTTATTTTTATAGGTTCCACGTAACGCGCTCAAATACGTAATATCAGACCGTGTGAAGAAGCTAGCGGCTCCAAGAGTTATTCCGCAGCCAGGAGCATATGATTAAACCTGAATGTCATCCCTCTCACACTTACACCCACCCAATTGAACCGACAGAGAAAATATCATCTACAAACTCTAAATTCCATACATTTGCCATAGAATAAAAAGCAATTATTTCCAATACTTTAAATTAGTTTATCCCCTATATAATTATTTAAAGTAAATTTATCTTATTCATGGCATTCGCTTTTATAACCACAAAAGCAAATAAAACAATGCAACACTATTTCGATAGTTTTATTTACACTGGTAACATTGTAATACTGTAACTACGAACCACAGATCATTAAATACAAATATAAATAAATTACGCTTAATCTATGCAACGGAGTAAATATGACCGCACAACCAATATTAAAAAAGTAATAAAAATAATAATACTACATTGGATATACAGATTATTGATTTCCGTCGATTAGAAAATTTCATATAGTTCTTATGTATTATTTGGTTTTTAAAGTAGAATTTAATAGTTATTAAATGAAACAAAGTAAAATAAAATAAGAGTTGGTAAAAAAACAAATACAGATTACAAAGTTAAAAAGAGCATTATTTTAAACCATGAATGTATTTTTTACCTATATATCGTCTAGGATAAATTACTATTATTGGAAGTAAATCGTACATACATACGATATTATCGTACCGAGCTGATCTATTGGTTATTGGCCATAATTCTATATACACAATGTACCTTCTTATGTAAGACAGTGGATGATGGCATTGGTGAAATCTTTGGTAGTGGATTGACCACCTAAGTCCTTGGTTCGCACTTTTCCGTCTGACAGCACCCTGGAAAGGAAATTATTTTTAGGCAACCATGGTATTTAATTTATGCAAAAATTAAATGAAAACTTTGTCTAAAAAAGGCAATTATTTTTAATTTAAGATGTTAAACGTCCATATTATAATCTACTACACACATTTAGAGAAATATCAATTCTATATCATCCGTTTGACTGATCAATTTATTTACAATCAAGTAGTCTATCGTTTCTCCGGGATTCGAACCGGAACGCTCTCGGACTTAACGCAAAGCTAAGCAACGCGTGAGAGTATGGTGTACTGTTGTATTTGTAATACGACACTGAGCATCGCATAAATACTTTAATACTAAAACACAGTAAAAAAAACTTACTTGTTAATAGCGCCTTTAATCATTTTGGAGTAGGAGTGAAGGTTGACGTGTGCCAATAGATTGGCTGAGCACAACAGCATTGCGGTCGGGTTGGCGATGTTCTTGCCCACGGCACCGGAGAAGATGTGACGAGCACCCTATATCCAGAACGAAAGATGTTAATTGTCTATGTACACTATTTCATTATAAATATGCAAAGGAAAATATAACCAATGTATTATACAAGTTGTGCCACCGTCTTTGTCTGCGTAGATTAGTTATTTTGGGCGTCAAAATTTGTTTTTGCAAATCTATTCATCTTTATAGACGATAGCTGTTACCCTATAAACTTAAAAGGTACGGATCGCTAAATTAAAAGATAGAGAGACATATATTGTCGTCGATATTTTCGTAGATCATTTAAAGAGGAATCATTCTTTTATACATAATTTTTGGTTTCAAAGATAAACCAGCAGTTCTTGAGATTGGCGCGTTCGAACGAACAAACAAAATCTCCAGCTTTGTAATATTAGTATACTACGAATAATATAAGTATACCTGTTCAAAGACAGCACACTCCGCACTGTATGAAGCACCAGCAACAACACCAGCTCCACCAACAAGCCCACTAGCAAGATTATCCACAATGTTGCCATACAGATTCGGCGTTACCATCACGTCAAACTGGTTGGGGTTCGACACCATCTGCATGGTGCAGTTGTCAACGATCATCTTCTCGAATTGAATGCGCGGGTACAGCTTTCCAATCTGAAATATATTACAAAAAATATTATTTATTTTTAGATTTCCATAGAGGATGGTAAAAATACTTTAGTCCTTTACGATGTACATATTATGAATATCCAAGTTCTATACTAATCACCTCCTCGCAACTCCTCAAGAACAGTCCATCGCCCAGTTTCATGATATTGGCTTTGTGGACGGCTGTGACCTTCTTCCTACCCATCTTTACGGCGTAGTCAAAAGCAAACTTAGCTATACGTTCTGACTTAGCAGCTGTTATGATCTTTAAACACTCCACAACACCTAAAATAAAGAAAAGAAAATCAATACCCATTTAAAAAAAACGGTCTAAAACGCTATATATATTAGTTAAACTTGTTTGAAAATTATTTTAAACTACGGCCGACGTTTCGGATGCTTTGCAGCAGCCGTGGTCACGGGAAATTAAAGATGCAGAGTGTCTCTGAGCAGTTTTTTACTTTGTCAGAGTTATTTATATGTGTACTACTCGCCCAAACTACAGGCAGTATTTAAGTTAATAGTCAGGTAATTTACCTATTTATAGGGTTTAATTTGAAAACCCTATATATTTATTAACAGAACACGGGGTAATAAAATAGATAAATATACTACTCAGCTTGTTACTGTAACTCAAGCAGTACTGAATACAGTTCACAGCCATAAATTGTTTTATAGATAGACCAGTTATGCTTACCAGGAACAGATTCATGTTCAAGGGCTGAGTATTCTCCTTCTGTCTGCTCTCGGATGATAATGCAGTCAACGTCCTTGTGCCTGCAGTTGACATTGGGCAATGACTTGACGTGGACTACATTAGCGTAAAGGTCCAAAGCGTTACGCAGCTTCATGTTGAGCGTTTGTAGCTCGCCAGTGTGGGAGAAATCTGGTGTTGCCAGGATACCCTAAAATACAAATTCATATTACTTTTTAATGTTAAACGAGACAACTAAAATAATATTGTCTACATGTGCAAATGTTCAACTATTATTCTAAGCAACTGCTAATATTATAAAATAATCAAACATTCCATATTCGGTTGCATTATATAATGTGACATAACAAAATTAAGCTGTTTAAACAGCATTTAAAAATATATAATTTAATTTTTACTTACCTTAATACAGATCTTGTTCTTAGCAATAGAGTTGACAACATCTTCAAGTGGTGCACTTAAAGTTGGGTTCACTTCTGAGAAGAAGAAGGATTCAAAGTCCACAGGAATGTTGGCCGCCTAAAATGTTTGCAATTAAAGCTATGACAACAGCATCTTCATATTTATACATATAACTATGTAGTATGAATGATACCAACCTTAAAGACTTCCTGAACAGAGTATACCAACTCGGGTCCGACACCATCTCCAGGGATGAGTGTGCATTTAATGCGACCCTCCTTGCTGGCTTGCTATATAGAAAAATAAATATTGAAAGATATGGCATTTAACAAACAGTTTCGAGTTTTCATATTCAATCTTAATATAGTTTACATTTGTATGTTCTACTACTACTACTAGTAGTTCACAATTTAATGATTAATGAATAATATTTTTGTGTATGTTATAACTTTTTTTTTCATTCTTCAAATCTAAGTACAACTTTGGCTCTTTCTTATAATTTAAAAACTTACCTAGTCACACTACACAGTAGTACTGTAATCTATTAAAAAAGATACACAATCGCACATTGAGGAATGAATTTGAGTTATGTGTTACAATGCGTTTGGACAACACAAAGGCATTGTGCAAATATCATGCTATATACCTCTTCATAGATTAACATCTTATTCAGCAATTATTTTAATAACGTCGTGGATAATGGAAGCTTCATTAGACATTTCAGGTCATGCTAATATAACCATTCCATTCATGTGTCACTTTTTAAAAATGTGCCAATATGTCTGTTCATTTAACTAACCTCTTGTGGTCAAGAGAACATAATATATAAACAATTTTGTTTTGATATTGAATAGAATGGCGGTTTTAAACACCAATAAACCATGCAATATACATTTTACACCTTACAATACTCATAACTGGAGGTTAAGGAGTGTCTCGGTAAATAGGTTCTTCAAAATGTTTGAAACCAAAAATACCCATGTGGAAAGTTTATTATTTTGGTACATCGTGGCACTATATAAATTTTGAGCACACTGGTGGGATTTAAACCTGGAGAAACAGCGACACTACCACCCTAAACACAGAGTTTGTTTAAGGCAGCAGCATGGATCTCTGTGGATGATGTTCAAGTTCTGCCCATATCTTTGAATTTTTCAATTTAAATAAGTTTTTGATTTAAAAAATCCATATGGATTGCTCTAACATCTTCATCTTTTCAGTTGGTCTTCCATGTTAAGCAACTTTATTTTGATTCATGAAAGATGTTGATTTTTTTTTTCAATTAAATTTTATAGATTGTAAATTCAGACTTTCAAAATAATTCCTAAACATCATTACATCTTTGATAAATAAACTTAAATCATACAATATTGTTCTGCGTTTTAGTGCGTAGCTTTAATTTTATAAGGAACTATTCATATATTATCTATATTAAATAAAGAGTAAAAGACTCTGAAAGAAACTGATTTCAAAATAATATAAAACAACTTTTCCTGTAAACACTTATGAGGATATTAGTAGGTAAGTTAGTTTTCTCACCAGGGTGCTGATTGATAAAGGCGCGAAACATACGTTTTTGTCAGCATTTACCGCAGTGGTGTGCAGTCCTTTAGAGACATGTTGTGATCCCTGAAATTGATACACACTGCAAACAACTCTATAAATGAAAATTGATTTTATTACGTCTGTGATCACGTGAGAAGTTTTCAGCCACTTAACAATATGAAATTTAACACCTATCTATGCATAACAAACATAAACCAAAGGACTGTTTATATTTTATCAAAATTTCTACACCGATTATTTAAAATAAATTAAAAATAAAGAGATTTAAAATAACAGCTGAAGCCACCGCTTTTCAATAAAATAAAGTCACTCATGAAAAGAAATTTCGTCACACACCTGTACTAGAGTACGAAATACGTTTCTAGTTATAAGGGACATTTTTAATTTTGTAAATTTCTTTGAAAAAAAGGTTAATTTTCTGCAAATTTATTTTTGGATCGTCTTCGCTGACAAAAGATATAACCCCGACAAATTCCTGTTTACGTAACTTGACATTTATATTTGACATATCAATTATTACAGTTGGCATAAAATAAAGTCGGTATGTCAGCAATTAATACTGACTTTAATTTTAGTATCAAGAAGCATATTTTGGATGATAGATAATTCTAACCATATTTAATTGTAAATTGTTACTTTTGCCTGCGTTGTAATTATTTCAAAAAAAGTTTTTTTAATTATTGATGATGAATGGTTGCGAGATACGAAACGTGTCGCATGCATTATTTGTTATCTATAATTTCCATCGCCTTGAAACCACCACAGTTAAAAATTTATCTGTGCTGGCAACACCGAACACATACATAGTTCAGTGAAACATAATTGATTTTATGTCATTTTTGGAGGTCTTGTGACGGCGCAACATTTAAACTTCAAAATTACAATTAAATTTTCACAAGTGCAAATAAACGATAAAAAATGTGTTTTAAAGCTTTAATATACTAACAATTATACACCAGAGTATTTCGAAAAATTTACAACATCGTACTCCAATAATTAAAAAGTAAGTGCATTTATTTCGTTTTCGTTTTGTCGTTTTAAATTCGTGCAAATTTATTATTTTTGGTATAAATTCCAGTTTGAAATTACTTGAATGTATAATAATCTAGTGCAGAATATTAGTAGTAGCCGGAGTATTATTACTTGTTCAAATTAGGCGACTGCAAGGTTTGTTATTTTTATTGATTAAGAAATAGAGTAAAACTGTTGGAATTAACGCAGCGTGTAGGATTTTGATAAGAGGCCACATTGGGTCAAAACATATTTGATAACATGATTTGATCTGGGTAAAATAATATTGATAAAGTCTTACGATACTTTCAATTCAGAAATTACAGTAGGATAACGTTATATAAGTAAAACTAGTAGTTTTGTAGAATAGACATACGATATAAGGTAATTTTATAATGTAACTAACGATATCTTTAACTAACACATTCTTCTAAATAATACTATTTTAAACAGGCTCGCCACATACATGTATGTTTTACATTTTTGTAATTAAAGTTAACATTGTAATATATTTGGTAAATTCTTAAGTCACGCAGGTTCGCTGTCCTATTTTGCATTCATTATTTATTCATCAATAACAACGAACTGTGCGAAATTCAAAGTAATTTGCGTTATTAATATGTTCTTGTAAATCTGCAAAGGAATAATTCGCGTTCTCGTGTATTGAACGAATTATATAATTCTATTACGTAGTCATTTATAATCTTTATACACTCTTTTCCAAAAAATAAGGGCACCTAAAGAAATTAACGTTATAAGGTCGATTACAGTTAATTAAAATGAAATTTAATTGTGTGACGTAATCTGTATATTTACTTATAATTGTATTAATTAAAACACGTGAAATGGAAAATTGACAGTTTTTAAATAATTGATTCGATGACAAACCTTGTTAATTTTTTTTTTGGCGAATCTATATATTTCTTTAAATTTTAAAGAGAATAAGCTATATTTTTATTTTTTTATTGAACGCAAACAACCAATTTACATGTTCATGATACTCAAACGATTCACATGGAGTGGTCGTCAATAAAGACAAGTTGTTTTTTGGGATTAAAAATAACGTTACAAATCTAAAAACGTTAAACATATTATAATTCTATTATAAATCTAAAAAAATGAGGTTAGGTCTTGGAGTGGGCAAACCTAAACTACGAATCACAACTTGCCATAAAGAAATCCTTTTTCGTGTTATTTTTATTGAAGTAGAAGAAAAACTCAATTGTCCGTTTCTGTAAAAAAGAGTGAACATAGCTATTTGATATATAAGAGTATAAGATTAAGCATAAAAGGTATTATTATTGAAGTAATTAGAATAGATAAAACCCGAGCTAGTCTAAAAAGTAATATTATTTATGCAAGAGTTCCTTTTAATATACAGGTTTCCAGACAAAGCCTAATATGATTCAGAAAAATTATCAGTTTATTTAAATATTCTTGGCAATGTATGTATGTGCTGATATAAAATTTATACACAAACATGTAGGAAAACAATATTTGGAAGTTATAACGATCGATGAGGGATAAAGTTTTTGGTATATTATTTGTCATAATTCCGTAATATCTGGTTTCAAACAGACTTCATTATATTACGAAATTTATCTAACCAAACTGATAAGAAAACATCCATGTTTATCTAATGAGTCTATCGAAGGCCGCTGCAGTGGTCAGAAGCAAGCAATATTAAGTTATTATTGTTCATCTAAACATTTTTTATAACATTGTTTTAATGATAAATAGGTATAGACTTGTGATAATGCTAACGACCGCTTATCTAAGGCTTTGGTAACAATACAAAATTCTGTTTAGTGGATTTTGAGTTCATACCTATATTTGGAACTATATACATATTTATATCGAATGCTATTAAGAATTGAATTCATTCAAGAGCTCTCTTCAATAAAAAGAAACTTTTTTGTCCCCTGAAAAGGAAATCGCATGTCTTGTCAATAAAACGCGATATGTATTTTAAATAATTAACTAGGTGTTATCTACGACGTCGCGTCGCTCTTGCGAGTTTATCTTAAATAATAGAACACTGTCACAGACATTTTTTTTCATGATTAAAAGGGAAATCATCCTTACATATATATTTTTTTGGTTTCTTGAACCGTTTTCGCGGCGCACGCAACGTTTTTTCCTCCTATTGGCCGCAGCTTTATGTTTTATTTTTAATTTTCTTAGATAAATGGTTTAACCTACACAAAACAATTTTTCAATTTTAACACGCAGTTTCGGGAATAGCGCGTTCAAAGAAACAAACTCGGCTTTTGAAAACATTAATATTTTTCACATGTTATTGCACATGAAGACACTATATAATTTAAAAATCGAAAATAAATTGAAAAAGAGCAACAGCACGGAAAGCTGACGATGCCGGTTCAAGTCCTGCCCGAGTCGAATTTTTTTTCAATTTATTTTCGATTTTTAAACTCAGCTTTATAATATTAGTCTTTGGAACTCTCGTCCCACTAATATCAGAAAAGCTCAATCACTCCGTTCTTTTAAGAGTCTGCTGTGTAAGTTTTACGTTTCCAATATTTAAGTTAGTTAGTAGCAGTAGTAGTAGTTAGTCTCTCCTACTCGTTGTGTGTGCTTTCACTGTGTACCTTGATATTCTTTGTTATTCCTTACACCTACCCACGAATTTTTTTTTTCTGTACTACAGGTTGCCTGGAAGAGATCGCTGCTTAGCGATAAGGCCGCCTTTTATTTATAAGTTAGCACATAAGATTTTTCCTAATTTATGTGTATTTTCTGTGGTGTGTTTTATAAATAATAAAGCAATAATAAATAAATAAAAATAAGCATAGAAATAAGGTACACGTTTCCAACTCACGGCTACTATATTCTCATTATCGACGATAATTTGCCTTTTAAACCGTTAAATGTTATTTTTCATGTGTCTCACGGACTGTATCTACAGGCAATGCATTTTTCTCTTGTAAAACTATGATTAAACCAGAAAATTTTGTTTTCAGAAATGAGCATAGACCTAACAAAGCCCCGTTATGATCAAGGCACGTACATGGGTCGTGCTAAGCACTTCCTGCTCCTCACCAACCCACTTAATGCCTTCGCGTCTACAGAACAGCTGGATGAAGCCAAGAGGGTAGTTACTGAGTTCAAGTAAGTATGACTTAGGATAAAAAAAAGTCACCACATTCGTGATACACCATTCGTGGTGTATCACGAATGGTGAACCTTTTCTAAGAATGGTTGTCTTCTATTATAACAGATAAAAAATTCGTCAAGTTTAATCGCGTATCGGTAAAAAAAAAAAATTAGCCCCAAGTGATCACGTATTATATGTCTATACCACGCTATAGGTATATGTTTGTATTTCAGACGTGGAGGAAAAATGCCCGCGGGTTATGACCTGGACAAACTATGGGCCGCGAAGTACCTCTACGACAGCGCGTACCACCCGGACACCGGCGAAAAGATGTTCGTTCTTGGAAGAATGGCTGCGCAGGCGCCGATGAACACTATCATCACGGGATGTAAGTATTAGTTATTAGGACAGCCAAGCATTTGGTTCACAAGATGGAAAGTGAAATAACCAGCCTTATAAAATGACTGTTGAAGAAGAAATCGCGACTCGTTCATTATTAGCTAAATACATAGCTACCATTGTTACAACCAAGAATGAACCCGTCATAGTGTGGTAAAATACAACAGCAATTGTATAATTTGTCCTTTTCTTTAACTGTATAATGATATAATGCTAGATACTCCAGAAAAGAGAAGAAACACAACCATGTGTGTAGCTGAACAGTGTTTAAGAAGATATGCCATTTAATACTAACCTACTAGTATAAAAATAATTTTATTATAAAAAAAAAACTATAATATCCAGGCATGATAACCTTCTACAAGACGACAGCAGCGACAGTGTTCTGGCAGTGGGTGAATCAGACCTTCAACGCTTTGGTGAATTACACCAATAGGGGTGGAGACGCGCCCATGAGCATGACGTGAGGAGTTTAATTTTCTAGACAAGTTTCGACCCTTTAAAACAAGCATCTTAAAGCCCTAACTTTTTTTATATTTGTCACATGATCGCACTATTTAAATTAAAAATCTTGCTTAAACCGGCATTGTCAGCGTTACGTGCTGTTGCTCTAACCAATAACCAATTGAGGAGACGGTAGGTCAAGTGGTTAGAGAGCAGTATACTATACTAAGTAAAACAGATTGTCAAGTACTTAAAACAGAAGGTTATAAACTAACTAAGTTCTAAACATAGGTCTATTAATAACGGTTTAATTAAAAGATTTAAGAATACCGACTTTTAACTGTGACTTGTTTCTATGTAGACACCTACTGGGGTCGTATTGTGCAGCGTGTGGGGGAGCTCTTAGTACTGCACTCTACCTCAATAGCAAAGTTAAGGTAAGTCAAAGTAATATATAAAAAATACACATTCCTTCCCAGAACAAGTAATACAAACAAAAAAAAATGTTAAGACTATTTAGTATATACAATATCGGATAACGAAAGGACATACTAGCATTACAAATTGCTATTTTAAAAATGTTACTTCGGTGCTATCAAAAATGTAATAACTCAAGAAATTGCAAAGACTTTTTTGTTGGATTCGTTTATAGCCTCTGGAGTGGTTAGACAACATCGAGCCACAAAAAAAGTAAGCCAACTAGCATTGCATTGAGCCTAGGTCCTAGGTTTGATCCTGATTTGATAGAAACTAATAAATTTGTCTGCCCCATGCTCACTTATAAAAGGAAACTAAATTCGTCTTTAAAAGATATTTAGAAATAACAAATCTCATTTCTTTATACTCTTACACATCAAAACCAAATAAAAGCCAGACCATGACAATGAAATTACAAACATTCTGAACAATTGTTAGCTATGAATAATTTACAATAAGTGATAAGGCTACGCTAACAATAATTTTATCTTATCAAACAAAGTGTGCAAGGATTATAATCTTAAAGTGGAATTGGTATACGTAACAGAGGTGTGTCGTGCGCTAAACAAACAGACATGACGTTTTTTATTGATGATAATAATTATCACGTTTTAACGATTGTTGGGGAAAACATGTTTTTAATTTGCAACTGTAAAAAACATCTTGCTAATGAAAGTTCATGGTAAATATATTGAAAATTTAGTATCTGTCACAACTCAGTGAAAGAAAATACTATGGGAAAAGTAAAAGACTTCTAAAAAAGAAGCTAAGGTCTAGTTGTGGGACCGAAAAAGATGGTGTTTAAACAAATAACAATTTATATACATAAAATACTTATTAAGATAAGTGAGATTTTAATTTTTAGGTTTAACTTAATTCATAAATTCGAGACCACGAACTAGTTAATCTGACAAATATTACTTGCTGTTTTTAAATATACAGACAATATTTAATTGTTGATGTATTTTCCTTTCGTCATACCTAGCTATCTACTTAATCAAAATTAAATTTAAGACATTTATTATTTACGTTTTATTTAAGTTTAAGCAAGGTAAAGTATGCCCGAATGTTCAAAGTTGTATGACCAGCACACACACAGGTGTGATCAAGTAAAACTAATATAAAAACGGAGTACTATAATATTCTATTTGGGTGCCAGCCTTTAGTAATTAAGATAAGCGTTAAAACAAACATGATCCAGTGAATTCCGGTGAAAATTCCAAAGTTATCTGATGAATGATCACCCAATGGCAAATAAAGGTCCCTTCTTGACGGTACAATACAACATGCTATCTTTGAAACAGGAAATTATATATCAATCAGATAACGTTTTACGCTACTTTCTTGATTATTATTAATACAATTGATTAATTATTACAAATTAATAGATAAGAGCATAGACTGATATGGGGATCTTTATATTTTGTCAAAAGTCAACATTTTTTTTTTCCATATCCGAATTTAATCGAATCTTTAATAGTAATAATTGTCACAAATGTAATCTCGGACAAGATAGATACTAATTTTCATTCTTTTTAAAATTATTATTATTTTTCAATACAGAAAAATCTCTTTAATTATATATCAAATATCTAAAATCCGAAAATTTTTGTGTTCTTGCTTTGAATTTATATAAAATTCAAATGTTTGTATTATAGCTTTCCTTTGATTAATTTTATATATGTAGATCTTCCATAAATGACCCCAGACAATATTGTAATCTTCTAGATCAGTAGATGGATTGCGTATTTCTTGAGATCGAAATATAGAAAAGATGTATCAGTCGCTTCTTATTAATTTTTATTATAAACTAGCTGTGTGAGCGACTTCAGTCGCATCCTGTCGTTCTTGTTAGTTTATCTAAAAAGATGAATCATTCTTTCATACATTGTTTATGGGTATCTTGAACCGTTTTCGCAGTTTTCGTAACCCACAAAGATTTCACCTGCTTTTCCACATTTCTCGCTGGATTCGTTCGTATCCTTCATCGAAGCTTTAACGAACACAAAAAATATTTTTTTAAAGTTGGATCAGTAGTTTCTGAGATAAGCGCGTTCACACAAACAAACGAACAGACTCTTCAGCTTTATATATTAGTAAAGATAATAAACAGTTTGCGACGTAATTTCCAATTCGTGATGTTAAGATTGGATCGAATTATCAGTAGGCGGGTGTGTGACGTTGGCATTCAGTGTTGCTACACAAATATACGTAGCTTGTTTGAGGTTTTAATAGATTAGTTGTTTGACATATGGCAATATACATAGGTACTATGTTGCATGAACAATGAACAAATACACGAGGCAAGGAGATGCTATTCTAATCTTTATTCTAAACAAGACTAAATGTTGATATAAAATATACAATTGTAGCGTGTGCCTCTAAGTTTATAAATGGGGTCGATACCCGACGAGAATCAAACTGAATGTAATGTACCTACAATTAATCGCGAAAACCCTGGGAATATACATACAAACTCTTTGTTATAGATGTACAACTTTTCATTATTGAAAACTAGAGACGTTCACAAAAATATTTTGAGAAGGATCTTTCTGTTTATAAAACTTAGTCGTCTTTGCACCAACTGTTATGAGTCGTTCTTGAAATATTTTTAAATAACACGATAAAACCGCCAAAAGTTCAATTTTAAAATGACGGAAGACACATAAATGTGTCCACACACGAAAAAATAAATGATTAATTATTACTTAAATATCTTAGTACCTATTACTAATGTTAAATATTTTTGCTTCAATTTGGAATGTATTTATATTTTAAAACATTTTTCTGTTTCAGAACATGAGCCCAATCTACGCCCGACTTGTTCCTTTCGCGGCAGTTTGTGGCGCTAATTTCATCAACATTCCCATGATGAGGAGCGGGTAAGGGTCTAAGGCTTTTGACGCACAACAACAATTACACGTTAAACACACACAAACCAGGTTTAGATTAAAAAGAAAACAGAAGTGATCACATGGTAAATAGTAATTTTAAAATGTTCACTGTGAGAGCATTTCAATCTGAAAAGGGTTTTAATGTTTTAGGGTTTAAATAAAACAATTTAACGATTTAAAATATATATAGACACAGTTTCCCCGTGACAACGACTAAGTACTGCAAAACAGTCGAAACGTCGGGCAGTAGTCAGAATAATTTTCAAATACCCTTAACTATATTTCGGGTTTTAAACCGTCAAAGTGCCTTATTTAAATCGGTACTACTCGCTCAAAGAACAGACAATGTTTTTGGAATGTTATGCTCAAACTTCCGCTGACCTTTATTCTGTTTATTAGTATATATTGTTATTACCTAAATTTTTAATAATGAATAATTCTTCTTACATTATTATTTTAAATTTTAGGGAATTAATGAGCGGCACCCCAGTGTTTACACCAGATGGTAAGCGGGTCGGCGAGTCCAAGGTGGCTGCTCGATATGGTATCAGCCTGGTCATCGTATCGAGGGTCCTGATGGCCTTACCCGGAATGAGTTAGTGATCTTCTTTCTTTATGTTTACCAATAAGTACCTATAGTGGCTCTGTCTTCAGAGCCATGTCATGAGATCGTTTGAATCCAGGTGATGCAACAAAGTATTTATTATTATAGGTTCCTAAATTTGTGACGGATTCTAAGAAGTGTTTTCTTTACAGCGGTCACCCCAATAATAACGAACATAGCAACCCAGAGGGGGCTATTCTGCCGATACCCCAAGGGGGTTATTCCGTTCCAACTGTTTCTAGTCGGTTTGTGTGTGACATTCGCGACGCCGCTGTGTTGCGCGCTGTTCGATCAACGTGCAACATTGAATGTTACCAGCCTTGACCCTGAGCTTAGGGTAAGTTTGTGTTACCAGAACTGATAATTCGTTTTTTTAAATAAAGATTTTTTTAGTTTGGCACGGATCTTTAGCGATGAACGAATCCTGCGTGAGAAGTCAAAAATAAGGTATCGAAGGGACGGAAGCGGGCGCGGGGCTAGTGAACGTCATGTGCGCTAGCGTTGATTGGTTCCCCAGTCGTGTTGTCTTTCTCGGACCAATACGACACTCCGCTTGCTTCTCGAGTGGTCACGTTTTCCGATCAATTACGTGCGCGATTATAAGATGTACAACTATCCCCTCTACATTTCGTTCAGCGCTAAACATCCGTGCCGCGACCTATACTGTGCTTTAAAATATATTTTTGATACAGGGTTTTTATGTTTGGGGCTATTTTTAATGTTTCTTTAAAAAGGATTTAGGACTGACGTCTAAAACTTAATTTCATTATTTTTTTTTAACTTTTAGGACTTCATGAAGAAGAATTACCCGAAAGTAACACACGTCGTCTTCAACAAGGGTCTATAAACTGCCAATATTAATTATTATATCCAAAGAAATGTACAATTTAAGGAATTGTTAGCGCGTGGCGTTTGTTACAGAAGTTACTGAGTACTCAAAGATTGCCAGCATTTTTTGTATGTCTGTTTACCGAACATTCCACACACAAAATAGCTTTACATTCCATATATTTGTCGACACTTATTGTAAAACAATTGTGCTATTTTAAAGTTTATATTGTTATTTAATTTTATAGTTTTTGTGTTTTATATTATTTTTGAGCTCAACATTTTGGGTTGTGATATTTCATTATTATGATCTGATTGAATTATTTATTGAGTAAGAATGTTGTCGCTTCAGAAAACAATTGTTGAATTAGAGAATTAAATACTTTAAATTGTAGAAACGTTTAGGTGTCAAAGGAAAGTGTATATCTAAATTTTAACTTTTTTTTACTTACTCTTGCCGGCGCGCGTGCGTCTGCGCAGAAAATTCTGTGTATAAGAATATTATACGTTGTGACATAGTTGGCTATCAGTAAAAAATCAATGCCTAAGAAAAAGAAGTTTGTATATACTTAGGCAAATTCAAAACTGACTGCTAACTTTTTTTATATGTAACGCTCAATCGTAATATTGTTTAAAAATAATTGGCTGTCGCAGTTAAATTAACTGTCGTAGTTAAATTAATTGTCGTACACGATGTGTACAACAAACTGTTACCATAATGTTGACAATAATTCCATTAAGTAAGATTTTGTTGCAAATTATTTGCGAGTATAGATTAGATGTCGAATGTACAAATCAAAAACGTTATCAATATAATTGAGTTTTATTTTTAAGGCGTCAATATTAACTAACCATATTTCACTTTTGCATGACCTAACATCATTGTGTCCTGTACAATTTATTTATAGAAAGAAAGGTGTGATCAGATCTTTGAGTTCATGGCTTAACATGAAGTAGATAAAAGACAAGTCATTATAAAAAAGGTTATATTATAACTTAATTTTAAAATACAAATTTATTTATAATAAATACATACTAAACCCCCGATATACAAGACAAAAAATGTGCAATTGCTAACTACATTGAATATGGCAACTAGATTATTAATGCTCTTTGTAATTACTCGTCCAAAAGCAATATATAATTTACTTGCATCTGGCATTACAAAAATAAGACTTGAGATACATATTTTCTATTTACTGAAATTGGATTTTGGAAAGAGATAGCGCTCTATAAATTATCGCGCTATCTCTTTTACACAACCCCCTACTAAAAAATGTACACAAAACTTTTTCTATAAACTTGATTGGTTGACAGATTTTACTTTCCCTTTCGTAGTCCTCTTACGTTACTCTGTTTATATTAAACTACTTACAAGTAGAGTACATCACATCTTTTCCTTCGTTCTTTATCACGTCACGTGTGTGACGTATTTTACGCAGCGATTGAAAACTTTGTAAATGGTAAAAACTGCTACGCTAGCGACATCTTGTAGCAGTTTTAACTTTGAAAAAAATTTAAACGAATATATTTCGCGTTTAATTCAGTTAACTTTTGAAATCTCATGTAATTTCATTTATTTTGTATAAACAAGTTACTCCAACTCGAAAATCTGTAAGAATTTCATAATTTTTATTCAACTTTATTAGATGTTTATTCAATTAAAAATATCCGCAGCTACAAGTTAAAAACGTATGCGCTGATGTACTCGCTCTGCCCGTGCTCGGCTATCTTCGGCTGCGCAACTGCAGCGAGCGATGTCTCCATCTCTTTCCTTCGCTTCCTGTTCTTCTTATCCCACGGTGCGTAGGGGATTTTCAGGTGGACCGTTTGTATGTGGAGTTTGACCGCGCTGCTTTGAGTGAACCGACGACCGCAGTGTTGGCACTCGAAACGTTTCTCGCCAGTGTGGACCTAGAAAATTTTATATTGACTAAATGAATATATAAAACCTGACGACGAGTCATATCTCTGTCGTCTGTCGACCTATTTTGGCTTTGGATATTCTGAAACCCACTGAAAACTGCAAATTAAACTTCAAGACTTTTCAAATCCATGGGCGGGGCCCGAATTGCGATATTATCCTACCACCCATTTAATATCCAGCTTTCCAGACAAAGTCTAATATGTTTCTGAACAATTATTCGATTTATTTTAAAATCTAAAATTATTGCGTTTCAAACCGGTAGGAATTTGATACAAAATTAATTCTACAGTAAAATCGAACTGTGCTAAACTCACCACAATGTGTCGATCCCGATTGCTAACCATACTGAATCGCCTGTCGCAGTATTGGCACGCGTAAGGCTTTTCGCGGGTGTGCGTTCGCATGTGGACCATCAGGTTCGCGTATTGCTAAACATTAATAACTTCAATTAAGGGATATGTGTTAAATCAAGAGCCGATTTTAAGTGAACGACACGGGCAGGATTTGAACCGGCACCCACATCGTTTAGTGCTGTAGCTCTTAGCATTTGCGCTACCGTCTCCTACGTCACCTCTCGTCGGATTATTTAAATTAAATAAGTTTTGGAAATACGTTATTATATATATGATTTATTAGTTGTATCTAACTTTCACGATTGTGGCTGAAGTGAACTCTTAAAAAAGGATTCTTTTCAGAATTTAGCTATTATACCAGGCTCTACGTGTATCTTTATATAAAGGCATATATTTTCAATCAGGTACAATACCTTAGTCGTATGCCCGCAAATATCGCACATGTACCGCTTGAGGTACTCCGCCCCCGGGTGCTCCGACTCGTAGTGCTTCCGCGCCTGTACGTCGTTGCACAGGTACTTTTTGCACTGAAAATCATTGTTTTTGACTAGTTGTAGACAATTATTAGTTACTTGTATGTGTAAAAAGAGTTTTTAAGTGTAAGGGTGTTTGTATATGAAGATTAATTTGCTTTACGCCCCAAACCTGTATAAAAGAAAAAAGGCTTTAGGCTATAAAACATTCTAGAAACTGTGGACAATTGCGTGTGCTGCAAAAATACTTCAAGATACCGAAAAAAGAATAATTCTTCTTTAAATAACTATTACTAACTAAATACTAACATTACTTATATATATACTGTCCGCGACTGTATATATAAATAATGAGAGGTTTGCAACACATATTTGGATGCCACAACAGTTATTTTAATAATTATTCTACGCGAACAAAATCGCTGGCACATCTAGAGTTTTAATAGAGAACATGGCAAAGGAAATAATGGTGTACCTGATGAATAAGACTATAAAAATTAATAAGCTAAAGTTTTAAAGTTACGAGACTTACAATATCGCAATTTCCGCCAGTCGTCGTCCCGGTATTGAGTACATCAGACGCATCCCTGCGCGGGCGCCCGCGTGTCCGTCGCCTGACTTTGTCATCTTCGTTCGCCGAATTCACTTTAGATGGCTTTATCGAACTGAAACGAAAACTTTAAACAATTTACAATGTAAATTATCTCGTTGAAAAGGATTTGAGAACTTTAAGTTATATTAATTCAATATATAGTAGGTGAAATACCTTAGCTATATAACATCCAAAGGTACGATGTCGACCTATTTTGGCTTTCGATATTCGGATACTGACAGTTCGATATTCCTACCGCCTATTTCATATCGAGATTTCTAGATGTCTCAGATATTTGAAAAAAGATTAGATTATTATTAGCCTACATTATACAGCTTACGTTATTCAGCTGTTGTAGCAAAGACAAGTAGACTTTTCAAAATGGCCGCGAAAGTCATACACATTTTATACTAACCGGTTAGTCGTCGAATGTTTATTTGAGCTACCGAAGTGAGTGATGAAAGCTGCCTCGTTCTGGAATTGTAGACGACACTCAGCACAGTACAGCGGGCTGTCTGTCACAATGCCCTTCTCCAGCTTCGCACTGGCATCCATTTCCTGAAAAAGTATGAATAATATAAATTCTAACAAATTGTAACATGTAAACATTTCAGCTGTATTAATTTAATAGTTGACACAAAAAAATGGCTGATACAACAGACATTAAAAACAGTAAAGAAGCCCTACAGAGGTAGTTCCTCCGTTGTTTAATCGAGTATTTACGTTCCTGCGCATGCGCATGATGTCCGTAGTTTGAAAGCCCATGAGCGCGTCTAGTAAGCATTTATATAGCTGTAGGCATCTAGAATATATAATTACCTCCTTTGTGTGGGCTATCTTCTTATGGCAATACAGTCCGGATTCACTGACAAAACTGTGTCCACAAATTGTGCAAATGAAGGTAGACGGGTGTTTTATTCGTATGTGGGTGAGGCGAGTCGATGCCTTCCTGAAGGTTAAAATAATAATCAATTAATATTAAAGGTTGAATAAATTAAATCTTATATATATTTCTAATATCTCAATTTCTTTTGCTGCTAATTTATAAAATAGTAAAACTAATTCTGCTTAGAAAAAGTAACATAGGACTTCAAGTATTTTCTGTATCCGTAAATCTGTTTATACACATTTGAATAAACCACTTATAACGGTTAAAAACACGAAATTTTGCACAGCAAATCATCCAAAACGTCGAGCAGTAAAAAGAAATAAGTTAAATACTATATTTCGCGTTTTAAATTGTTTTAATTCCTTATTTATAACTCGATACTTACGTAAACTGTTTGTTACAGTGCGGACAGGAATATGTGACGTTCTTATGCCATCTGTAGTGCATTTTAGCTTGACCTCTGAAAGTGTAAAAATTTATTTACTCTATTAATAGCCCATTACGTTACGCGCGATCAGACCGAGGTTCGAATTTTAGGAAACCAAAACAATCTATATAAATTAAAAAAGGAGTTTAGATTGGAAAAAATATATATATATACGACACAGACGGGACTTGAACTGGCATCATCAGCCATGAAGCTTAATCGCGTTTCGGGTTCAATCTGTGGATTTCCGAATATCCAAAGCCAAAATAGATCGACGGCGCATCTTGTGTAGATGTTATATGGCTGAGATATGTACGTCTGCCTGTCTGTCCTCCTCTATCATTAAAAAAATCATTTACAACTTTTACTTGGTTGTTACTTGAATTGTTATACGTACCTACAGAAGCAGGTGAACGAGCACGCTTGGCAGGAATACTTGTGGAGGTGGCTCATCGCCATGTGTTTGTACATCTGTCGTGTATTCTTCACGTACACCTTACAGGCATCGCACTGGTACGGACCAGATATAACCTGGAACGGACAAATTATACACAATAATTAAAGCTCGAGGGACGAGTTTGATTTCTGAAAACCTTTCTGATCTTTAATTTTGTGGATGTCTTCTCTTGTGTCGAAAGGTTTAGGGCCTTCTAACACATAATAGTTCCAACAAGGAAAGAAAGAAAGCAGTCATGGTCGCGAAGAGACACGTAGGGCCATTTTAAAACTTTGTATTATTAAACTATTATATATCTCATTATTATTTCAGTTAAAATTATATATAAAACACTTCAACAACGGCTCGACGTTTCGGATGCTTAACGGCAGCTGTGATCACGCAAAGTCAGGTGGGTCCGTAGTTAAAAAATTGTAGAGAAGGTAAAGTTAAAATTAATTACCGGATCATGCTTCTTCATATGCTTGTCATACGTAGCTGGCTCCCTGAATCCCTTGAAGCACAATTCACATTTAAAGGGCGACTCAATGTAGTTTTTGGACCGCTGCCGTTCCCTCACAAACTGATACTGTTCCTCTTGCGTCACAGCAGAGCATATAGGGAAATCAGGGGGCATCTTCTTCCTCTTACGTTCTGTATGAAGCTCATCCCTCAATTTTCTCTTCCGTCCTATCAACGATTTTGATGTTTTAGCCTCTTTTAAATGCGTCCAAATATAATGAGATTTTGCTGAGGTCCTGTAATTGATACAGGATAAAACTACCAAATTATAATGAAAGGGAAATGGGTGAAATGGACAGCAAATTATGTGTACTGATCACCTGGCCATCAATTGAGGTCTCCATTTTGATAGTAAAAATAACCGCAAGAGATCCTGGAATCTAATACCAGAGACACCATAATTGTTTTTGTTGGGCATGACCAGAGGTCTGATCAACCACAAGCCTATAGGTAATAGTCGATCAGTTATCGCCCCATTCTCAACCAAATTGTCACCAACAAACTTAGCTGGGATCTATGTAGATTCTGGTCCATTGCCAACTAGTTTGTCTTCTTTTATGTAAGTAAAAATACCACAATTTCAAACAAGTAACATGCTCAATGACTCACCGATCAAAACTAACTTCTGGACATTTTTTGCAGATATATTTATATGAATGTTTACCAGATATATGCGTTTTCAATTGAAATGGTGTTTTATAGTAGAATTGACACAAATCACAAAAGTAGGTACCACTGGTATGCTGTGAACATATACAAATATAGGGTCATGAATATGATAGCCACCAGGTCCAACATGTTGTGGTAGGAATATTTAAATTGCCCCTGGGTCACCAACCATCAACCAGAAGTGAAATTACTGTGAAGTTTAATTGTAGATTATATATAAAGGTTCTTAATCTTAAAAAATCTACAAATAGGTAAAATATATTTCTTATTATGTTATTATCTATAAACTAATAGATTAAAACCTTAATAATAGATAAGGACTGCCTAAAAATGGTTATAAGTTCTAATTTAGCTTACTGTGTCATGCATTCTCATGTGCACTTTCAAACGAGCCTCTGTATAATACGACTCTCTGCAGACCTCACACTGAAATTTGCCTTGTGAGAACATCTTATATATCTCCATTACAGCAGTTGCTTCTTTCTTTGATATGGGAATGACACTTGCAAATTCCTCATCTAATTTCACGCCATCAACATCATCATCGACTAAGATTTGTTCATTATCATCATTCACCTCTGGATTATCAAAGAAGTCATCAGATACATCATTTTGGTCATTAAAGGTTGATCCGTTGAATGTTTCTGACGTTTTTAATAAAGCGGGCTGTAGATTTATGTTGTTTGGAATGATTTCATTATTAGATAGAGTACCATAATGCAAGGTGCGTATATTTAGAGATTCTGTAGGTACTCTGCAATCTTTTACCCATTTGAACTTAACAATGTCATATTTTATCCGTGGATTGTTTTCATTTAAGAATGAAAGGTTTGGGTTGACTTTAAGTCTATGCCTATCTATTTCACTTAATACTGCTTCAGTAATCTGAAATAAACATAAATCTATTAGTATTTTAGTTTATATAGCATATATACTAAGCCAGGTGATCAGTCCATATAATCTGGTAACCAATTCTCCCCAATTCACGAACATAGATGTAAAACAGTATGTATTATTATTTCTAAAGGCAGAAAGCCTATATTATGTTAGGTATAAACTTACCTCACAATTTTTGTCTATTATTTCTAATAATGTATAATATGCTCTTTGGCATTTATCCCGAAATTTTATGAAATGCTGAATATATGCTGCACATTCCATGCATAAGTAGTCAGGCAAGCCAGTCCCTTTGTCTGTCTGTAAGAAACATGATTAACACTACAGTATTTAAAAATGAAATATAATTTGAATTAAGGATCCTTACAATAAATACTTAGAATTATTCCTTAATGAGTTAAGGGCTATAAATGTGAAAATAACGAGAAAACTTTTTAGTACGTAAATGTTTTCCAATTTAGAAATAAAAGATTGTGCACCTTTTTAAATCTCAGTAAATAAGATATAAATGCCGCGTTTTTCAGTCGCTAGGTTGAAAGCGCTCGTCCATAATAATAAAATCTCATAATATGGTATTGTAAAGAAAAGAGAAGCACAAAACAAACCAAACAAACTATACCTTCAATCCGGATATAAGATTGTATCCGTGCCTTAACTGACCGCTGTCCATGTTGACGAATTTTACACGAGTACTCAGGCACACAGCACATGCTTTTAATTGGAACATTTTGCATTTCGCTAAGTGATATCATTTAAATACAAAGAAAGCTACGAAAATATTTAACCCATATTCTATACGCATTTTATCCAGAGCATAGCAAGCACATTCATAAACAAAAATAAACATATCTATAAAATATAGATAAAAACTATACACAGATACAAAATACACTTGTGGTATAGCTTAAAGTCAATTCAGCATTACAGATTATTCAATAATAATAATAGAAGCATATAATAACTAATAAGGATTATACTTCTCGCTTCAGTAAGTAGTAAGAACTAAGAATTACTTTGCATATCACCATTATGTCAATACATAATTATATATTTTTAAATTACCTGTAAAATTTTAATATTTCCATTTTCTACTTGTACTCTTGTTTATTTGGTTTTACAAAATAATGTACGATTTGGAATTGGTAAGATAATAAATGCTTCAGAGGGATAACATACTTGCCTAGGAAGGATATTATAATGCATAGATTAAAGAATGTTTAATAATATTTCTTTTACTTAAGAGTATAAAAATAAATTAAACAAAGCGATATATTTAATCATGGTTTTATTAATGCTTTTGCACAGTAAATGTTTATAAAATGAAGAACAGACATCCCATCCTACACAAACTGATAAACATACCAACATGTTTTTATAGATTACAAGTTGCCAAGATAATACCATACATCTTCACATTACCAAGTTTTAAATTGGATTGAAATTGTTACAACCATATGTTTTCATTTTTATAAAATATGTAATTTCCTGTTATTCATTAAAGTGTTCAAATGATATTGTTAAAGTAGTTTCTTCAATATTACTATCATGCTTCAAATCAATACTTTCATTAATAACTTTCTCTTCAGAACTTTGAACTATGGGACTTCTACATGTCTTCATTTGAAACTCAATTGGAGAAAAAGCCCTTTTAGGATTCTGTATACAACTTGTGCCAGGTACAGGTTTTATTTCAGGCGGCATATGATTTGATAATACCATAGGCCACAGGAAGAGCGAATTAAATCTTGTTGCAAATTTTTTCATTTCATTGTTGAATATGACATTTTGATTTAGACATTCGATTAATTGCTTCATATTAATATTTTCTCCTGTATTGGAAACATAATTCATTAATGTTTTACAGGCTATGATAGTTGCATATGATGGTGGTAGTACATGCTGGGGAGACTCAAGACAGTTGTTACCCCAGATATCAGGGACTTTTTGATTATGAACTGTGTTACTTGACACTTTTCTTGAATATGACCTCTTTGTGGCGAAAATTGGCATACTACAGTCATGTTGAAGTAGTTGAGAATACTTTTTACCCATATCACTCTCAGCAAATCGAACTTTATTTAACTTAGCTCTTAAAAATATGAGTATTTGCCATAAATTCTTAATATTCACACCACTGTTTTGCACTGCCATAGGCTTATCTTCAGTTCCACTTTTATAATCTAAAAAAGTCTTATACTTTTCCTTTTCTTCTCTTTTTATTTCTTCCTTTACTAAGACAGCTATAATAGCATCGTCAATTTTATCCTCTGATGAGTTTTTATTTAATTGCTTATTCTTATTTGTATACAATTCTGACTCCATTCTTTTCTTTAAATTAAGAATGGCCTTCTTTAAATTATCAGTTTTGTTTCCACGTTTAATTTGTCGAGCAGGTCTTCTAGGAACAAGTTTTATATCAATGTTAGGATTTCGTTTCATCCATTTTTCTAAAGTTAAGTATCTTGCGCGTATGTGAGTTCTTTCTTTATTTTTGAAATGTCTAGCTAATTCGAAAAAGTTTCGTGGAGGCTCTTGATTTGCAACTAATTGTAGTAACTTTTTGTCTTCCTCCACAGTCCATACTTTTGACATTCTCTTAGTGCTTAGTACCTGATATCGAACTCTACATTGTGCTATGGACCGACCAGGTAAGTACCATTTCATTCTCTTGAAATCTGGACCATGTTTATCTACAAATGTCAAAATAACGGCATCCTCTTCGGGCAGAAATCTCCCTTTCCGTTCTTCTAACAGTCTCATATATTTGTTGTATACTTGTATTTTTGTCCTGTTTTCCATGCATCCAACCACCTTAGCCCATGGAATATAATTTCCCAATCTATAATACTCTATTATCCTTTTCAAATACTCTTCTTCTTGCGGAGTCCACTTTTTTGGTGAAGAAGGGTTGGTTACATGTGTACGGAAGTAAACAAAACATTGATATGGGGAGCGGTTAGTATTAAGTTGCTTTGCAATTGAGTCCCAGTTCTGGAAATTATTTTTAGAGGCAAGTTGAAGTAATGTATTGTGTTCTTTTTTTGAAAAGGCTTGTTTGTTAATAGAAGGATGTAAGAATAGTTTCCATATTGCTTTATATTCCTGGGGATTGTGTTTCAAATTCAATTTATTTGCAATATAACACCAATCATAATCCACCTCAATTGGTAATGCTAGTTCTTTGAGGGACATGCTAGATATTTTGCTAATTTGATCTTCTAAACTGGATATTTCATTGGTATCCTGATTAGCTTCACGTTTTAATTTTGATAACTTTGATTTGAGTTCCTGCCTTTTACAATTTTGTGACAAGGTTAGAATTAATTTTGTTAATTTCTTTTTATCACTGAGAGTCCAACCAGAGCCAAGAGTAGTAGATACGTCGTAAATTCCAGCTTCTCTTCTTAGTTTTGTGTCATTATTTTCTGGCGCAGTAAAACCATTTATGTCTTTAAAATATGGCTTAGCACATGCAACATAATAAAATGGAACAATATTTGTTTTTTCGACTGTAACCATTCCTTGCAGAACCTTTAGTCGATGCCGACATTCCTGTAAACGATTATGAAGCTTATTTTCCAATGCCTGAAGTTTTTCATCATATAACTTGTTTAGTGCTATAGCAGTGTTGATATCTGAGAAATCGTCTTGAACGCTATCGCAAGTAGACAGCTTTGTGTTATAGGAGACACGCGAATTGGTTCTGCTGGACGCAGCTTCGTCTTCTTCTATAGCTGCGTTTAATTTGCGCAAATCCTCAAGCTCTTCTTCTTCGTCGGATTCAAAGTAGAGACTCATGTTGTTTATTTAATAAGCTCGAAACTTAGTATGATAAAATTCGAGCTTAACAACACCACAATTTGTATTTAGTAACAAAATAGATTTTATACCAAGAGTATTTAAAATTATAGTACATACTGCATATCACATTCGCAAAGAATGAAAACATTTGAATCTGACACGATGACCACAGTTGTTTGTGATCGTCACAGATTAAAAATCATTAAATCAAAATCGGCCCTTCATAAAAATAATAACTTGAGTTTTGTTTGTTTGTAAGATTTTTACTTTTAAGTTTTTAATGCATTTTTTTCTATAATCAATTATATTTTAATATTTCCTGCTGAAAAAAACATACCGAAAAAAAAAAAACAAATTATAAGCACTATACGCACGATGCGATAAAATCTTATCCCCAAAGCGAAATTTTGCATTTCAAATTAGTTTTAACGATGTAGAAATAATTACTTTAAATATCTTGTAATTTTATGTAAAATGGGTGAGCCAGGAATAATTAAGAAATTAGATGAAGACGTTGTTAATCGCATAGCGGCCGGCGAAATAGTGCAGAGACCCGCGAACGCTTTAAAAGAATTGATTGAAAATAGGTTGGTGTTTTTATTTCTAAGTAGGCACTTAGTTAAATTCTAGCCTCTAATATTACTTTTTAAAGCTAATGAAGTTTTAGTTGACACCTTTAGTTTTGTTAAAACTTAAGTTTAGGTTTCTATTTAATATTAAGTACTTCCTTTTTACAGTTTAGATGCTAAGGCTACAAATATAATTATAACAGTAAAAGCAGGAGGTTTAAAGTATTTACAAGTAAGTTACTTCATCACAAAACCTTTGCTTCTTCAGTAAACTATGTCAAAACTAGAACCAATTGGAATTTTTTTATTCATACCAACTTGACTACAGTATAAACCTAAGCTTATTACAGATACAAGACAATGGAACTGGCATTAGACATGAAGATCTAAGTATTGTATGTGAACGGTTCACTACATCTAAATTACGGGAATATGAAGATTTACAAGCCATTAGTACATATGGTTTCCGAGGCGAAGCTTTGGCTAGTATCAGCCATATTGCCCATCTTACTATTCTTACAAAAACAGCTGACAGTAAATGTGCTTTTAAGTAAGTTTGCAGTACATTAAGAAAAATTTTTCCTAGTTTTAAGGAAAGGAATTTTTGTGCAATATTTAAAACTTGTTATATATTTTGATTTAAAACTATCTGCATAATCTTGGGCACTAGTTTCATAGACTTAACACCAACATTTAATTACAGAGCAACATATGAAAATAGCAAGCTGAAAGGTTCACCAAAGGCCTGTGCCGGAAATAATGGCACACAGATAACTGTTGAAGATCTATTTTACAATGTAATTGCTAGGAAACGGGCTCTCCGCAGTGCCAATGAGGAATATACACATATAATGGAGGTGGTTGGCGGATATGCTATACATAACAGCCATGTTGGTTTCACTTTGAAGAAATTTGGAGAAAATACAGACATTAAGACACAGATTAATTCATCTGTTATAGAAAATGTTAGAATTGTGAGTAACTTTGATTACTGTAACAGTTTAGTTTACCATAAGTAAAATTTTAAATGAAATAGTTTTATAAAAATAAAAAAAATCTTATACGGGCATCATTTGAATGCACAACAGGCAGTAAACTGTGACATGTTCTACCAAATACTGTCTATAGTTTACGCAAATCGTACACATTGAAATAAAACACTTTAAAACGCGATGTATTAGTTAAACTTATTTCAAAATGATTTTTAACTTCGGCACTATGTTTCGGATGGTTTGCAGCAGCCGTGGAGACTGTCTTCCCATGACAGTTTCATATAAGTTTAACTAATATGTATATTGTATATATATAGAGATGGATTTGTGTGTCTGTCTGTACATGCTTGTCTATAAAAGTATCCTAGTACTACTAGAAAGTAGTATGTATGTGTATCCTATAAGGATGTATCTGCCTTATTTTGAAACATTTTACACTATATACATATAATTATTAATTTCTATCTGAAGTATTATCTCTTTTTATAGTCGACTGATAGACTAATACTAAGTATTGTATGGTTACACAAGTATGACGCATTTTAAGAAAAGTCTTGACGGTTTACAACGCTAAATATATAAGTTGACTTATATAAAATGTATTTTAAATACAGCCTGACGTTTTGGAGTCGTGGTCACGTGGGGACTAAGTAACTTAACATAACATAATATATTTCGCGTTTTAAACCGTTAAAAAGTGTTTTATTTAAATGTTTACTATGATGCTTTAACATCGTTTAAAAACGAAATATCTGCTTCAGATCCACGGCAATTCAATAGCTCGAGAACTTCTAGAGATTGAAGTAAAAGACGAAACATTGAAGATGTCTGTACACGGCTTTATAACAAATGTGAACTATTCTAACAAAAAGGGCGCCCTGTTGTTATTCATTAACCATAGACTGGTAGATTGTGTTTGTATGTATCCAATTGCAAATATATCTATACTAATATAAAGCTGAAGAGTTTGTTTGTTTGAACGCGCTAATCTCAGAAACTACGGGTTCTAATTCAAAATGTATATTTGTGTTGGTTAGAGCATTTATCAAGATAACCAAAAATATGTATGAAAGGATAATTACTCTTTAAATTATCACAAAAAAATGTCCGCGACACTATGTCTATCTTTTTCTGAACTTAAACAAGAATACGGGACGAATAGGTCGCTAAAATAGCTTTAATGTATTTAAAGACGCTTGAAAAATAAAAAAAATGGATGCCCAATATACCTTTTCTACGCGGACGAAGTCGCTGACGTAGCTAGTATTTAATATAAACGTTATGAGAATTATTACCTCCTTGATTCAGTGATAAAAAGCGAAGCGAAGTCCTGGGTTGAAATTAAAGTTGTTTATGGACTTTTTATTGATAACTTATGGACACAGTTATGTGGCTGTCTCGTGTTCAGACTCAGTACACAGATATTCGTAATTACTATGAAATTATATCTTTGGTAGTTACTTCTAAGTCTTTAAATACTGGTTCATTTTAATGTTTTTTTTGTGTTTATTGTGTTTTCAGCTATCAGGAAAGCAATTGATGCGGTATATTCTACATATCTACCGAAGAACGCGCATTCGTTTGTATATATAAGTATAGAATTAGGTAAGCATTTATCGTTTTATTTATAGAATTACTTTTTTATTATAAAGGACAGATATACGTGGTGTTAATTTGATGAATTTTCTTAGTTATAGGACATCCCAACAAGATGTCGCTGTCGACCTATTTTTGAACTCGAATGATTTTTCATCTGTGGACGGTGGTTCGTGAGCGGGACGGAATTTCGATATTCCTATCCTACCAGCCATTTAATGTAAAGTCAACAATGTTGGCCCCAGTGGTGTTCGAACCCACTAATAATTATTGTCATATTTTGGACAGCCCACACAATATCTTTTTAAATTATAGCCTATGTGTTATTCTAATGTATAAGCTATATTATTGGAAAGTGCAATTGTAATCCATTCAGTAGTTTTTGCGTGAAAGAACAAGAAACATCCATCCACACATACAAACTTTCACGTTTATTATATTAGTAGGATCCCATTACAAACAGCGATCCTGCCAGACCTAAGTATTTGTGTTTGTAAAGATTGATCGCTACATGCTTAATTTTTTTTAGATCCTCGTAATGTTGACGTTAACGTCCACCCGACGAAACACGAGGTACAATTTCTGTATGAAGAACAGATTATAGACAAAATCAAGACGTGTGTTGAAAGCAAACTACTCAGCTGTAACTCGTCACGAGTTATGTACACGCAGGTAATCAATGATTAAAAGAATAACTTCGTACTCTCTGTCTGTATTTAACAAATTTTTCGTTAAACAAAATACTTTAACGGTTCGTTTAAAAACGCGGTATATATTTGTTCTTTTTTTAAATTTATTTTAACCTACGACCCATCGTTGCGGGTGCTTTGCAGCAGCCATGGTCAGGGGGGAACGTATCGTATCGTAATTATAATAAATAAATATTATGAGAAAGTGTATGTTCCATGCTTACGATATAATTTGTTATATATTATACTTATATTAATGTCGGTAAATTAATGAATTACTAGTGCTAGATAACAAAATCTACATACACCGAAAACCTTCGTCTTCAGATTTTAAGCTTTTTTTTATTGTATCGTGGAGTATCTAGTTTAATTTATATTACTTGTTAAACAAATTCCATCGTTTATTTATATGACTAAAATTAAGTCTTAGGACGTGAGGTATTGTAATAAAACTAATATTATAATATAGATATGTCAATTATAATGCAAGGTATTTTTAGGCGCGGCTACCCGGCGCTACAGCAGTTGAAGAAATAATAAAGAAGACAACAGATGGTGCTAAAATGTACGCAAAAGACCTGGTCAGAGTCAACGCTGATACGCAAAAGATTAATAAATTCTTTCAAATCGCTGATAAAAATTCACCTGTAGACAAAAAAGCTGCTACCAAAACTGACGAAGAAGAAAAAGAAAGGAATGTGGTGATGGATGTAGATAACAATGAAAGTGAAGTAATTGGACCGAACAAAGTTGCCGGTGAAGAAACAGAACTGCATAATGATATAAATGGTGAAGCTGCCAAACTACCTGGCGTGATTAATGAAATAGATGATGAACTGGAAAATTCGATAGAAATGGAACCAAAAGCAAGACAAGAGAAATGGAGAGACCATGTTAATGTGGATAAAGGAAACTTAAGTTATATAGATCCAAAGGAATCGTTTAAAACGAGGAAGTTTGTATATGAGAGGGTAGAAACGAAATTGACGAGTGTCAGGCAATTGCGGGTAGCTATTGAAGAAAAAGTTAACAACAATTTGAGGGAGATTTTAGCGAATTTGATATTTATAGCGTGCATAGATTGTCACAAATCGTTAATACAACATTCTACTAAGTTATATTTGTGCAATACTACAAGGATGGCGTGAGTTACTTATAATGTTTTTTTCATGGAAGGGAGAGGTTCGCTTGATGGAAGGTGAAATATCCCAGTAGACATCTTAACAAGATGTGCGGTCAACCTATTTTGGTTTAGGATATTCGGAAATCCACAGACTAAAACCATTAAACTCCACAGTCTTTTTTGTATCGACCTATTTAATAGACAAATTTCCAGACGAAGTACTATATGTTTCAGAAGAAATATAAATTGATTTGCAACGTATTGGACCTGGTGGGTACCCAAGACCCGTTGATCATGTCATACATTGCTACGATTAGACCAAACAGTAATTTTATTCCTTATAAACAATAATTTTTATTTCTTACTATAAAAACGAAAATTTATTTTTTCTATTAAATATCTCTTAATACTAACTTCAACCATTTATTTTTTCAGTGAAGAATTGTTCTATGAAACTATCTTGTACGACTTTCAAAACTTCGGGCTTATAAAACTGTCGAACCCGTTGCCGTTAGAGGAACTACTTGTTTTAGGGTTGAACACACCAGAAGCTGATAGTGATGTAATGAAGGAAGTTGGTAAATAGTCTTTGAATTGAAATAGACCTAGAATAGATTATGCAATGATTTGCCTTTTAATATTAGAATAGTACAGAGTCTCGCTTGCTTCAAATACACAACGAAGTCCCACTGATTATCTCAAGTTTCGTAATTTAATTCAATTAGTACGTTAGTAGTTACTATAAGTTTCAGTAAGTACAATTTCTGCTGTCACGTATACCATTTTCATTACTGTTTTCATTTCCACCGCGGTTGCTTGGAAGAGATAGCTATTTAGCTATAGTACCGGCGTTTTTCCCTAGTTTAATCAGCTTTATTTGTGTTTTCTTCTGTCACAGTTAATTATATTCATTTGTAGGTCTTTCTTTTGTATTGTAGATCATAAAGGGCCCTTTATTTACGAATATTTTGTTCTTTAGTCAACGTCCATACATTTTATATCCATTGTTTTTATGTAAACATTTTCAGGTGACCTGCGTGAAATGGCAAAAGAAATGACGAAATTTCTAACCAGTAAAAGGGCCATGCTGCTGGAGTATTTCTCTTTAGAGATGAACGCTGAAGGGGAACTGTTGGCGCTGCCTTTACTCCTTGGTAAATATGTTTTTTATGATGATCGCTGTTGACTTATTTTAGCTTTGTATATTTGGACTGAAATGAAAACGCGATAAAATTCGCGGACTTTTTCAACTGTGGATGGTAAGTTTTCTTCGCGTCTTATTTTGGTAAGATTTGTATTCGCCTTAGTACCAGGAGCATATGAACAATAGAGAATAATTAAGTGTCACCAAAATACAAGTCATTAGTGAGGGGGCGTTGCTAACGATATACTCGCACTAATGGGGGGGTGGAGCTTCGTGTCAATCCGCCTTCAAACGTCAATCGATTGGAAAGAAAGAATGTGGGTAGTGGCAAGAGTCGAAACAAAGTAGCTGCGCGGGCGCTGATTCGTTGGCGATGATCTCGGGTACAATGGCTTCCGGAGATGCATACGCATAAACGAACACCACTTGCAAACTTCTGCGACACTAGTATATTCTTTAATTTGCTTCAAATTATTTCATTTTAAAATTAAAACTTTTAACGTGGTTTAACGACGCGTCTACACCTCACGGCGGTGAAGCATGGGCATTTCTCCTTTTTGCATGTTGCCCCAGTATAAAATTGGATGTGAAATATGCATTCTTTTTCTTGACATAAAATTAAATAATATCTTTTTGACTTTTTTATATATTATGATTGATGTGGGAACTTCTCATTTTAGATGGCCACACGCCGTTTATGGGCGCGTTACCGACGTATCTAGTACGTTTGGTGACCGAAGTCAACTGGGACGCAGAGAAGGAATGTTTCGACTCATTTAGTAGGCAAACGGCGATATTCTATTCCCAGCCGAACCCGGACGATAACGAGAACGTGATGAAAGCGGAACAATGGAAACAGGAACACATAATTTTTCCAGCGATAAGACGATACTTTCTACCGCCCAGCAGTTTTGTGGACTCTGGGGCGATATTGCAAATCGCTAATCTCAGTGATCTGTATAAAGTGTTTGAAAGATGTTAGTTTAGCAAAAGATGTAAGACTCCCCCGTTGATGTAATGGCAGTTAAGTACACCTTAAAGTCAACGGGACGTAGGTTCGAAAAAAATTGGGTGGTAAAAATGTCGATAATTTCGTCAAGAGTTACGAACCACTGTTCATAGATGAAGTCCGGCAAAAATAAACGAAGCAATTGAAAAAAAAAACACTGACGGTTTAAAACGCAAAATATAGTAGTTATAACCGTGGTCACGGGGAGACCTCCTCCGGGTTGTCTACAAAGTATTCAAAGCCGTAGTTAAAATTGTTTTCAATTAAGTTTTAATAATATATTTCGCGTTTTGAATCGTCAGTGTTTTTTTTATCGCTTTATTTATTTTTAGCGCCAAAAAGGTGTTCCACCTTTGCACTAATTTTACTAAACTAACATACATTAGGTCTAATTTTTGGATCTAAATAAAAATCTCAAGTAAGAAAATATTGTATTAATCACGTATCAACAACATAATTAGGATGTACAACTAAGAGAGGGTCGTCCTCAACTTCTTGGTCAGATCTCGGCGTCGCTTTTAAACCGGCGGTAGACAGAGGAATTATTACTTGGTCCTGAAAGCAAACAAAAATTCTCTTTATAATTTATATTCTAAGTGTTGGTAGTGTATTTAAGTTCCTTATGGGAGGGTTAATTGCTTTTTTTTCGTAACGCGTTACGGCGTCAGCTTATCATTAAATAAATTAGTTTGTTATATGAGGCCGCTAGAGGCAGAATAGCCTAACTGCTAAAAATGTCTAAAAATGATAATCGCAAGAGCACAGTGACCGAAAATTGTAAGGATACTTTTTTGCATAAATAACAGTTGAATTTATTTTCGCCTAAGTTAATAGCGCATTTTTATTTTCCTCCTTATTTAAATTCATGTGTATTAGGTCACTCTGTCTCTAGAGCCTCATATATGCACTGTGTTTTGTAGACGAAAATTCAGGTATCAACTCACATGATACATGAGCCGGTCAATGACCTTCTCAACGAGCGTCTTCCTTTCAAGTAAATCATCTTCCGTCTCTATCTGCCCCTGAGTCACCAGCTGCTCCAAATACCAACTCACAACTGCACTCTTGCGCATACCCGCACTCTCTTCGCCTGTAAACAATAATTACTATTTAATTGAACTAATCATTTAATTTTCCGTGATTTTAGAAACAAATAAAACTTAGTATAAATCGAAGCTACGACCCGTTGATTATAAGTACGTTGCTACTAGGAATTAAAGGCCGTTAAAAGAACAGTCATAAAGAAATGAACCCTAAAAAGTTATATTTCATGCATATTTTGATTTAATATTTAGTCCATTTATAAATAGTGATAAATAACTATACCTCTAGTTTCTGCCTCCGCCTCCTCTTTCCTCATGAAAACTACCAGCATGTTGCTAAGGGATTTATACTCCTCAAACGACAGGGTGAGCTTCTTTTTGGGAGCAGAATCGCCGTTGACTTGATCGCTTGCTGATAACAGAAATACACATTTTATTATTATTTCACTTCATCCACGTTCTACTTGGAATAAAAGAAAATTTTGCTAAATTTTAATATTGAAAATCAGGTATCAAGTAGGTAGTTAAAATAGCGTCAGACAGACTTCATTAGACTTAGTCCAAAGCCCGATTTCCATAATGTCTAGGCTACTGATGGACATCAAATTCTTATTACCTTGTGGATGTAGATATACTAGTATTATGGTAAATTTTACAATTTGTACATCCTACATATGATTCATAATACCTGCGGTAGTCTGTGTGTCATTGTCCACGTCCATATTAGGCTCATACTGTGGGTCTTCTTCCTCCAAGTGAATGTCTGGTTGCTCGACACGGATTATGGACTTGTTGAGTAGTCTGAAAGAGCATATAAATTGTATCAAGTTATTTTAAGTATAAGAAAACTAAAAGAATAGAAACAAAACTCTTTGTCATTAATAAAAGTCCCCTGGTTTGTGTAATGTATTTCTATAAATTTTTTAACTAAACCCCTTTGCTAGATATATGTTGTTGGTCCAATTAGTTACCGTTTTTTTTTCTATTTACCCATACAAAACTCTTAAGCAAATTAGTTTTGTAAGTTACCTATAAGCTTCGTGGACATGTTGGGTGCTGACTTGGCCACTGCAGTGCATCTTCGCCAAGGCTTCAGCTAGTCGCACCATGGACTCGAGCTGTCGTACCGTGATGCGCCAGGACCCTGAACCGCTACCGCTTCCATCTCTAGACCGAAGCACTGTGTAATATTCTACTAGCACTTTACCGGCCTCCTAGAAATCGGAAAAGCATAAAAGTTATTTATCAGCTGAAATATACGAGTTTAAGAAGCGATTAAACTTTGATTAAATAAAGGCATTTGATCAAATATAACAGTTTTAACGGTTTAAATCGCGAATTATATTACATTTCAATTTTGTCTCTTTATAAATGACTTTTTGTTTACTGACCCGGGACAAACAGTATGAAAAAACGTTTCGGTTGCTTTGCAGCAGTTGTGGTCATGAGAAAACACATTTCGCGTTTTGAACCGTTAAAAGACTCGGGCAGGACTTGAACCGGCATCGTCAGCGTTCCGTGCTTTTGCTCTACCAATTAAGCTACCGAGTCCTACATCATCATAGAATGTTTTCAACTTATTGTTACATCTATCGCGCAATGTAATTTCAACCTTAACCGTTAAAAAAGATTAAATAAAATGTGACACAAAGTTACGACTGATAATGTTAAGTCAAGTGTTTAAATATCATACCTCTGTGATAATTGGCTTGAAAGACCTCGCAAAAGCGATGTACCTCAGCAAATCTTCTCTCGAGTACACGCAGTCGTACGTCTCCTCTTTATTGCAATGCAGATCTACGATTCTTCTAGCAATCGCGTAGTCCACCTGGCGAAAGAGAAAGAAACTTCTTTTTCATACCTGTATCGCATGTATTGCTTTTATACAAAAAAAAAACTACCTAACCCGGCAAACGTTATTTTAACATATGCTGTTTTTATTATTAAAAGGCAAAAGTATATGTGGATAAAAACATATTCCAAGGCCTAACAAACGTATATATATAATTTCATTAAAATCATTCTACTAATATCACCCAGTAATTAATATTTTCTTTAACGCCTTACCATTTCGCTAGTCTCGTCAATAAGGATGAAGAAAAGGTCAAAACGGGACATAATAGGTGCGCTGAGTGCCACATTCTGCTGGAGCGACTTGGCCCGGTCGTATCGGCCACCGATAGGGTTGGCAGCGGCGAGGATTGACGTCCGCGCGTTCAGCGTTGCCCGCACACCTGCCTGTCATACATTTCGTCATTAAAAATTAAATAAAAGAAACAATACAAAGCGTGACACGGACAAGATTAGAATTCTATTGTGGTTTGAAATGACTATTTTTTTTAGTAGGCAATACGCAATGTATAACTTACTAAATACGGATAGTAGAATAGTGGGTTCGATTCCCATCAGGAATGATCATAATGATTTTATATATTTTCTGATACTCGGCCGGAAATCTGGATATTAAATGGATGGTAGAAATATCAAAATTCTGTCCGGGTCACTTACCACCGTCGACAGATGATAAAACCCTGAAGTCGCTCTATCATATTTAAAAAAAATATATATTCCTTAACATAGTGCTCTCTCAGTCTCTTTGTTAATCTCCTACAATGGACAAGGAGACGAAACAGTGAGTTATGTTAAATTTCCTTTACCTTGGCTATAGATATGGTCTGCTGTTCCATGGCTTCGTGAATAGCAACCTGGTCTCCAGGGTCCATCTTATCGAACTCATCAATACAACAAACACCATTATCAGCCAACATCAGAGCTCCAGCCTCTATTACAAAGTCAAATGACTCTTCATCCTGTAACGAAGTAAAGATGCTTAACCGCCATTTTCTATTTTTCTCCGACATAAGTATATAAACATATTTTTAAATATTTATTTTGTAGGGTAGTTTATACAATTTTAGTATACCTTCACGACGGCTGCAGTCAGACCTGCGGCTGAAGACGCTTTACCACTTGTGTATACCGCCCGTGGTGCAATTTCGCTCACTTGCTTCAAGAGCTGCGACTTAGCTGTACTCGGGTCACCGACTATGCACACATTGATGTCGCCACGGAGGGTAGTTCCTAAAACGAATAATAATCGACAATAAGATCATGATATGTTTCCACTATGTAAAATTACAATAATTTTACATGATTTATAAATACATTTGACCTTATGGCCACTGTAGTTACTTATTCTAAAAATTGAAAAATATTCTATAGTAGAAATATTTAACGTGTGCCTACATTAACAAAACTCACTCAGAGACAGCATCTCAAAAAAGCATGTTTAAAAAATGATTTATGTATGTTGTTTACGCGACCTAAACAAAACTCTCAAACGATTTAAAACGCAAAATATATTAATAAATTCTGCAAGTTGGTTTACGACTGAACAGATGGCGCTAGCGTATCAGTTTGACATTAGAGGCACCCTCTACTTTAGTCCCCACGCGACCACGGGTACTGCAAAGCATCCAAAACATCGAGTCGCAGTTATATTTCATAATTTTTAATAAGATTATCTAATATATTTCGCTTTTTAACCCGTTAAAGTGTAAACATGATTGGTTTAATCGTGGTACATAAAGAACAGCCTTATAGAAACTGAATAGTGATTCAGCCTTAAATCTTCTTTCAGAAAATATGACCCATTCAGTAATGGGCCATATTTTCTGTACTGTCGTTTCTGACGTTTTATAATCAAATATGATAATTAACACTACATTATACCTTATTAAATAAAAAATGCATAAAAATACACATTTATTGTATTTTATGTCCAATTAATGATTTGTCACAGTTTGTACCTTCAATAGTAGTTTTGGCGACACCACCAAACAACATAAGCAGTACTCCTCTCTTCACCTCATTATTACCATGGATACTAGGAAACAGACTTGCTATCAAATTGTTGTAAAGATTCCGATCTCTTGACATCTCATACACCTATGAAGGAAACAAAGCTATTACGAATTTAAATGTGTAAACTATATCTTATATAACAAATTACTTATTAAAGGGCTTATAAAACCATGATTGATTAAATATTAAGTGTTGTCTGATTTTACCTTACCCATTGGTTCTTTATGATGAAAATTATGTTTACAAACAAGCAGTTACCAAGTTTTACTGCCCATCCAGTGCCAAAGAATTAATAAAAGGATAGAATAATTATATAAGTTAGATAACTACATAAGGACTTTAAAAGCAGTTGATAATAACAATCTAAAACTTTTGAAATAGGTATTCAATATAAAAATGTGTTTAACTGTTTTTTTTTTAAATACTCAACTCTTATAATACCACATACCTTATCCCACTCTTTATCAGTCATTTGTTTCCTCATATCTTCTGTGGTTAGGTCATCTGTAGCTAAATCAGCCGTACCAAACCTGCGTGATGTAGCTTGCACACTGCATGCTAAAAATGCTGTTCTAAAAACATATTTACATTAATAACTGTTTAACCAAGACAAGGGGTATCATATAAGGGACAATATAATGTATAAAAAGAAGGAATTGAACAATATATTTAAACAATAAATGGAGGCACTAGGCAGGCTAGATGTTTCCAATACAAATTAACTTATAAGATATGTATATTTATTATTTAATTTTCTTCTCATATCTAAAAGCAAGAAATTACTTGTAATGCAGCTCCCGAACTCCCAGAGCCTTCAACCCTTTGATCCCCTCCATCTGCCCTTCATTAGCTTGTCTTGTACGAATGGTCAACTCTGCCTTAGCACCAGGCATAGATAGGGAACCCACATCTGGTACAACTATGAGGGTCCCTGTAAAATCATAACGGTCACCAGCCTACGACAATAAAAACTGTATTAGTAGAAATCCAAATTCTGTATACCAGGCATAGATAAAACAGAATGATCACTGGTGTAACCTCTGTATCTAACTCAATCAAATATATAATCTGGTTATGTAGATAAGTAAACAATTCATTTATATTATATATATTTTAGAAATATCTTTCATACCTGTACAGACTCTACGGCTTCAGCTCTGAGTATGACTTCTAAAGACCTTGGTATACATCCTCTGGGTAATTCAGCTTGTGTCTCTTGTATCCTTATCTTTTGAAAATCAACAAAAACTGATTTGTCTGCATCAAGCATAAATCGGCGTCTATTTGCACACACTGGGTTTCTGCATATGGTTGGTATTGTGTACTGGAAATTAATACATTACAATAAAATAAAATATTTAAGTCTTACAGTCAGACTTTATAAATAAAATCTTCAGATTTTCATATACAAAAATGTATTTAACAAAGGAAACTAGACAAGCACGAGGCTCACTTGATGGAAGGTTGAATACCTCTATCATATACTATATAAACAGGATGTACTGTTGAACCATTTTGGCTGTGCACATTCATATACACCTGAATAATATTTAATGATCAATTATTGTATAAACATCTATGAAGATTATGTTATAATAGAAACTTTATCAACTCACCTTAAACTGTTGTTCCACATTTTTAATAACTGTCTGACAATCCAAGCAAACAAATGTGCCCAGCACTAATTCAGGATGTACAGGATGTGTCCTCACGATTTGGCCAGATATTCTTATAAGTGTGCCGATCTTCGTAGTTGTCAACTCTCTTACTTTATGCCGCGTTGGAACATCCACAAACGAGATATAGCACTCTTTACCTTGTAAATCCTTCTTCATACCACTCTCGGCCAAACTCAGTACATAATTTAAAATAGCTTGATTCAAAAACGGATATATTCTGTAATACTCCTCAATGATTGTTGTGGCAAGATTTTGGTTATACTTTTCTACATCATCAAAGCTTACTTCTAGCGTACTTAATTCGGGTTTAAGTAATTCTTTAGCCGGCTTTTCGTACTTTAACTCGTGGTCTTCTTTGAAACTAAAAAATGTTTTGTTTACATAATTTACTCACTTCGAGCAATTGCACGTAATGTGCCTTTAATCAACATTTAAGAATCAATATGAACAATACTAATACTTGTAATGAGTACTTACTCTTCTAGAAAGTCTTGAAAAAGTTTTTGGCACCGTACCCCGACCTCATCCTTAACTTGACTCTGTGTTGCGTATGTATCGGCAACATCCATTATTACTTATTATACTTGTAAAGAATGATTTAACTTTATCACTATTTCGGTGGGTTTTAATGTTTTAACTAGAAATTACAATAAACGTTTAAGCATTTTTTTATAAATAAAGAGTTACAGTACAAAACTTTTCGCAAGTGTAATTCGAAGCATTTGCGACGCACATTGGCTAGTTTTGACATTTATCACTTAAATTTGGCGGGAAGTTTTGACAGGATGTTATTAATAACAGATAAATAATATACTGTGACATAAAACCTTCGTTGTTTAAGATGCTGGAAGACAAGCCACCATGGTAGTAAATAAAAAAAAAAAAAAACTACGCTGATAAACATGTGGATGATTGATTGATTTAACGAGTACAAAATATAGTACAAGCCATGGAGGAAAGCAAAATAGCTTTATTTCAGAAAGCCGCCGCACTTCTAAAGGACTCGAATAATAAAACACACGATATCTTAAAAAGTCACTATTTGTTACAATGTCCTCGTTTAACATTAGCAGAAAATCGAAATAGATTAAGGAAAGGAAGATGTTACCATTGCCGTTTAGAATGGACACGAGATACAAAGAACAGGGTCTGTATTATAGAAAAGCTTATATGAAAGAGGTATTTAAGGAGAGATAGTAAATATATTATCCGTATTTCAGATAAAGCCAATAAAATTGAGTAAAAGGCAAAAAAGAAGGAAGAAGTCCAAAGTAAAGAATAGTTTATTAAATAGTAAGCAACTGGTAAGTATAGTTTATTTGTATTAAATACTTGAAATCTGTACTTTAAAAACCTAAATTTTATTGTGCTGTCTTTTAGGAAAGGATATGTTCATTTTGTGGAAACGTTACAGTTATTCAGATACCAAAACTTAACATAAATAAACACATAATTGATAGTAAATGTAATGATGACAATACAACGTCATCCCAGTCAGATAAGAAGCAAATTCCTATAGAAAACAAAATTTGTAAAACCAAGGCACAGAAACCAATTAACGTGTATAGTAATGCATCAGAAATATTTTCCTTAAGAAATGACAATAATACTTTGAAGAAGGATACTCCACAAAAAATAAATAATAACAAAAAGAAAAAGGACAAATTTGCTGGTTTATGTCAAAAGGCTGTTTTAGATGCGGCCAAAAGAAAGTTAGCAAATGAAAAGAAAAACAAGATTAATTTTTTTTTTTTTTTAATTTTAATTTATTTTTAAAACCAGCTGTATAAATAAACCCAGTTTTCGAAATATATTTTATTTTATTTTCTTCTAATTAGTATTAAATGAATGTCCATAACATTTGTATTTGTATGGCCAGTCATAATATGGAATTGGCCATTACTAAATTGCTTATAGAAATTATAAGAATCATTGTTGTCCATGTAACTTCTTATGTTAAGGCCTTGTAATTCAGAATCTGACACTAAATGTATGTACCCCAAGGCTCCAGCTGCATCTGTTGGACCGTCTATACCATCAGTGCCTGCACTTAAAAAGAATATCTCATGATCAGCCAGATACTCTTTGTTTTCATGTAAAAGCATTGAGAATTCTAAGGCCAGTTGTTGATTTCTACCTCCTGTACCTGTTCCCTTAACTTCTACAGTGGTTTCACCCCCAGCAATTAAACAAATATTGTTGACACTCTCACATCTTAAGTTCTCTACAAGTAAATGGGGTAACATATTACTCGCATCTATTTTTCCTTTACTAAAATTGCAAATGGTTTTCACCTGTTCATAATAATGTTCTGCTACATCTTTAACATTGCCTATAACACTATGAGACAGAACAATAGGTGTGTAATTTAAAGATTTTGCTTCATTTACTGCTGCATTTATGCTTATTTTATTTGAACCAATAACATAATTGTGTACATTTTCTACAGGAAAAACATCGGAGTCTGTTTTTTCAATCACTTGTTTTATAGAAGTTGGAATATTTTCAAACAGACAATATTTCTTAAGAACATCTATTGCAGCATTTGGTGAATCCTGATTTTGGACTGTTGGACCGCTAGCAATCAAATCTAATGGATCTCCAACTATATCAGATAATATTAGACTTACAATTTGAGCAGGGTGGGCCTGAATAGCTAGCTGGCCACCTTTTAAATCTGATATTTGTTTCCTAACTGTGTTCAATTCCTTAATGTCGGCACCAGCATTAGCCAGATTCTTAATCAAGTTAGTTTTTTCTAGGAGGGTAATAGGAGTTTTAGGTAAAGGTAGTAAAGCAGAACCTCCACCCGATATCAATACAAGAAGAAAGTCATTTTTATCTAGGTCTGAAACCAAAGCCTTCACTTTTCTGCTAGTTGATTCAGAATCTTTATCAGGTAAATTATTCTTTGCGCCTTCTAAATATTTTAGGTGACTTTTGTAATTAAATTCAGATATACTTCCCACAGGAACACTTAAATAACCACCTTTTATTTTGGATCCTAATATAAATTCTATCTCTTGAGCCATATTTTTCACAGCTTTTCCAGTGCCAACTACAAAAACATTTTTATCTTTCAGACTGTGATGGTGACCTAACACACTCAATTGTTCAGTATGCAAATTGTATTTCAATGAGTTTCTTATTAGCTGTTCTGGTAAAACAGCCGAAAAGCTGGTCTTAAATATTTTAATTAAATTATCAAAGGTACACTTGGACATTTTTGCACTTGACGTTTGACTTGGTTATTCTAAATAAATTATTTGTAGAGATAACAGTAGGTATCCATAGTTCTTACAACATCTTTCTTCATAAATGATAAGACAAAATGAAAAACAAGGTTTATATACGTAAGAACCTAAGAATGCATCATCATATTAAGTTAATTTTTAGTACTAATTACTTCAATTAGATGAAATATAGATTACACTCGTAGCGTATATTTTATTTTCAATCATGAAGATTTATTGATATATGTACTTATTTATGTCATATTAATTATTTTTAGTAGATACTATCTAATATAGGCGCCAAATATTTTGATGTCAACTGACACTTTACATAAAAAAAAAAACATAGACAGATTAATAATTATATACGCTAGACTCCAAAAAGAAAACACAGATGATAAAAGTTTGAACATCTAAAAATAAAAATGTAATACTTGACCCATGTTTTCATGAAAATTCGAGTCTACATTTCCACATTAAAATTAGATACTAATCTTCTTGCTTCTCGTAGACCAGTTTCAATAGCACCATGTGTTGTGGAGAATTTTGTCGAATGAGTAGCTTCGCCGGCAAACAGAACGCGAAGTTCTCCTGTAGCATCCACTAAAGGTTCCGCTAGATCAGACCTACCACGAGTGTAGGCAGTATCATAACTTTCAAATGAATAACTGCCTCCCATATTAAATGATGACGACCATGTTGTACTGAAAAGTACACTAATATAAGACATATAACAAAATATTTACTAACCAGTAAGAGAAGCTAACGATATTTAAGACATAGTATTATTTATCAGACAATTAACAATTCCCAATGTTGGGATTTCAGCTTTTTTTGAGTAAAAGATACTCTGTTTATATACGTAGCATCTCATAACAAAGACAAATAAATATTATTCTAATACGTCGGGCTTACTTATCCATAAATTTTGATTACCATTGTACAATCCAAGGGTTTTGAGTGGTACTGATCTTTCCGAAAAATCGTTTGAGTAATTTCATACAAGTTTGTCTTAATATGTGCTCAGCCATCTTTTCGACCTGAAATTACGATCGACATTAAGAATGTGAATGGATTTCTTTATTAAAAAATGAATCGACTACACAGCGACATTTTATCGCATGTCACAATGAGAGAGATTACCTTGAATTTTTATTCATTTTATTCTTTTTTCGACGCGTAAACGTTAATGTTTTTATTTAATACTTACTCTTTCAGCAGCAGTTCCTCTCACCCATAATATAAGAGATTTTCGACATCCTGAGGGGCTGCTAGCCCCGAAAATTTGTGTAATCCAAGAATCTTGAAGAGGTATTTTTGCCACGTCATCATCTGTCCATTCAAATTTAAAAAATGATGGCTTTTTCGGCCACCACGGCTCATTGAACTTAATAACGATCTTGTTTATAGTACCGGTGTTTATATTTTGGATAGCTTCTACCTTTTTTTTAGGCAGTGGAGGGTTGAAAAAGTTTTTGTGGCTATAAAGAAATTATTAATTTAATAAAACTTTTTGACTGAATTACCCATACATTTTGGAATAATTAACTTTATATTATTTATTTATTTAATAGTTTCTAGACCCCTTCAAGCGCACGAGGACTAGGGTGCAAATAAAGTTATAAACCTTATTGGAAATCGGCGTTCGGTATTTGTATTTTTTTTAAGGAACTGAACCAACTCCGTACATTTGACATAGCTTAACGCCGTCCGTCTCAGATAACAATTATTTAATGGTGACAGACGCGGGACTATACCTTACTTTTTCTTTAAATAGCCTAGAGGTGTAGTTACAATGACGTTACTAGCTATATACACTTTGGTAGCACAGTGCACTTCCACGTTCCCACTACCATCTCTTGGCCATACTATTCGAAAGACCATGGTTTTTAATTCGACGTCAAGATTCGGTAGTCCCGGGCCATTATTGTAAGTATTCTGAAATACAGTGCAGTATTTTGAAATATCCTTATCTACATTGCGTCAATAGAATGATACTTACCAACATAATTTGTAATAAGGTTTTATATCCATACCCGTGCCAGCAAAGCAACTCTTCATTGGTTTCTGGTCGTTGTCCGATTTCAAAGAGGTCGAAAAATGAGGAGTTTTTAGAGGAATTTGGTGTTGCAACACTACCGTCAGAGCGCAGAGTCATCGTTTCCAGACTTTGTGGCAGCACAAGAACGTTGTGCTTTTTTAAAATCGAATTTATAAAGTTGTCTGCACCATGAATCCTGAAATTATATGTTGGTTATTATTTATTTAGTTAGTTAAGGTGTCGGTTTTTGCATTTATTTATTAACAATATACATTTGTATTACCATTCTGCCCCCCACTCAATAACGCCGGAGTTAGATGGGCTAATCACTGTCTGAACTCGTCCACCAATTCTTCCATTACTTTCCAGTGCCAACACTTTATTTCCTGCTTTGGCTAAGGCGGAAGCAGCTGCAACACCAGCGCAGCCAAGCCCAATTACAATGGTGTCGTAAGGATGTCTGGCTGTCTCCATTTCTCAAATAAAAATCTCTTTTAGACAACTTTAAAAGTTTTGGGATGTAGATATAGGTATACATACACACATAAAAAGTACGTAATAAAGAATTTTATGGACTTTACAGATTTATCTTATTATTATTTAGACATTTAATACATTTATATTAAAAATTATAAAAGACAGAATGTTTAACTACAAAGATTACATTCGACTGACCGATAAAACAACTGTCGACTATTAATAACGATATCTGTGTTCTTATCTAACGATATTAAAAGTAATCAGTAAGATTACTTAGTACAATAAATTAAAATTCATAAAAATAAATATTAAAAAAGTAATGATAATAAAAGTATGAATTATCTTAGCATTATCATTAACCCTTTCAAACGTCCCGTTTCTTCCCTTAAGCTTTAATTGTTTATGCTAGCAAAAATAATATTTTCGGTTTCAAAACATGCATATGGGCATGGGTGTCTCACCTCATTGGTAAGCACATGCCAGAATGTACATCAAAAAATAAAAATAATCGGCAATGACGCGGATCGAACTCCCGACCTCACGATTACACCACTGAAACACAACGGTCAATCTATTGCTGGCCGTAACCGTCGTAACTTGCCCGAATTTCATCCGTTACTTAAAGCGCGCATGTCAAAACAAGTCGGCGCAAATTTGAATTTGGAATGTTTTTAACTCAGTCGGCTTTATAGAAGCCTAAAGGAAATACGTGTACACATTATAGTATTTTTTAAAAAGGTTACGATAGATTAGTTGTAACGTAGTTATTTTATCATGGATAATTCACCAGTTTGCTTTTCATATTTTTTTTGTAACAAGCAAAATGTTCGAACTTTCGGTAATACATTTGATACAAAATTACTTACGTGTAGAAGAAGTGAAGTATTGGTTCGTAGGATTATACAAGATGAACATTTGGTGAGTCAACTACCTACTGAATTTCGAGAAATGTTAAATGAAATCGGGGCGAACATTTCGAAGAATAGTAAACAAGATTTCAGACAATATTTTAATGATATGAACACAACCCGAAACACAACACTGAAAGCTGTCGATAAAAATGCAGTTGCTACTGGATGCTTAGCTTGCCTTAATAAAATTATACCACAATCGTTCTTCGGAAACAATCACAACGCAAAGATATTTAGTAAATGTACGAAAATAATTGTGTTCAGTATGAGAAAACAACATTTTATTCTAAATAGTCTTACGAGAACTTGGAATTTCGATGTGCCCCCTTGGCGATCATACGAAAAGATGATCGCACATAATATCTTGCAAAGAATACTGTTGTGGGTATTTAAAAATATTTTATCTGCGATTATATGCCTCAATTTCTATGTCACCACTTGTAAAATAGATGCGCATGAGAATAAACTCCATTATTTTTGGAAAAATCAATGGCAGAGTTTTTATGATAAGGAAATATCGAAAATGATACATAAAAACATAATATCTAAATGCGAGTCTTACAGTTTAGGTAAGAAATCGAAGAGAAAATTTGGACGGGAGCAGCGGGCATCGATAAAACTCGTGAGAAATGCTGTTCCAAGACTCCATCTAGTTCTCAAGCCGAGAAATGAAGTAAGGCCGATAGTCCGATACAAATCTGGTTCAATGAAAACTTTTGAGAAATATAAGATCAAGGAACGGCTAGCGTTTTTAAAAACCTTGCACGGAGAAAGGAAAGATAAACTAGAATCACTATTTTCCGTGTTACATTCAAATTGGCTACGAAGGGAACAACCCAAACTGTATTTCGTGAAAGCAGACTTGAGTAATGCTTTTGGGTCGGTTAAAAGAAATCTGCTGTTAAGCATAATAACGAAGAAAATGGCGGGATTTCAAAACTCGGATCAGCCGCTACAATTAAAGAATAAATTCGCCGTTCATTATAAGGAATTGCGTAAAGAACTTCAGAAGCCTCTACTCGTGAGAGTCGGTTCTGCGATATATGAATGGAAACTCGGCCTGGTCCAGGGATATGTCTATTCTCCGGCTTTGTCCGAAGTATATTATTCGCACTTTGATAAATTATACTTCTCTCACCACTTAAGAACCTCTGCCGACGAATTAAAACTTTTTGTGAGAGTTGTAGACGATTACTTGTACATTACGGATAGCGTATTGGACGCATATTCATTTCTCAAAGCTCTATCGCGATATGAAAATGTAAACTACAGTAAGACCGCTGCAAATTTTCAGTACGAAGGCATACAATTCACTGAGGATGTTAATTTTCTAGGATATACCTATAACACGAAAACGTTACTCGTCAACAGAGCTAGTAATATTTATACGGGTCCTATATGTTATAAAATACAATTTACTTCATCTATCAAAGATATAAATACGTTTTTGAAGAGGCGAATTGGCCGGACCGGCGTCGTTATCAATCCCCTTTTGTTCAACTTTAGATCCGGCGAGGAAATTGTATGGAGACAAATTTTTATGACCCTGTGTATCTCCGCAAATAAATTCTGTACGATTTTATCTATATTGTGTAATGAGAGCGAGATGTTGAATTATCTATCTCTTTACAAACAACAAGTCGCTGTGAAACTGTGTAACGCAATGATAGATGTGTTATTACGGGATAAATTGAAGGATTCTCTCTTCAAGTATTGTATCAATCATTTCCGATATCTCTCGTGGAAGGCTTTGTGGCTCTGCGCGAGAAAGACCCCGAAGTGTAACAACCTAGTTCCGTATATCGAGAGTGAGGTGTCAAAATCAAATTGTATTTTCGGAAAATGGAGGGAGCATGCATCCCAAATAAATAGCTCTGGTGAGTGTCAAACCAAAGCGACAAGGATAATCTGTGCACGACCCGATCTGAGAAGTGTTATGAAAACATTTGAAGAGTTGCCTGCTGGTTTTGAATGCTATAAGAACATATTTTTGTGAGCTGCTGTCAATAATAAAATTTTAAATCTTAAAATATTTTATTTCTAGGATTGCTGTAAAAAAGGGACGGATATACATTACATACTTATAAAATAAATTATGTGCTACATATGTCTAAAGTACAGGCACTTATAGGACAGAATTAAGTTAATAATCACTTGATTAAAATGTTTAAGTAGATATTGATGTCTACAGTTGGAATATACTCGTTTGACGAACCAGTGTCTGTAGTTAACGCGAGTACACATTTAATTAAAACACTTTAGACGGTTTAAAGCGCGAAACATATTGGTTAAACTAGTTTAATTATGTATTTTAACTACAACACGACGTTTTGGATGCAGCAGCCGTGGTCACGTGTCCTTAACCTCAAAGTCAAATCTGCTTGTCACTAGCATATCACTTTTGACTTTTTTTAAACCGTTAAGTGTTTTATTTGAATATATGACTAAATTTAAATATTGTCATACTCATTTTGCTGCCACATATATTGTACAAATTAGTGTACAGTGTGAATTCTTAATGTCGCATACTAAAAAGTATATATACTCAAATGTAAATTGTGAGATTCGTACAAGCTGCATTATGTATAATTGTTTATCTTAAAACCTAATATGTCTATATAACACAAGGTAGTCATACTTATAGTACACAATTTCTTAAAACTATAAAATGTGTAATACACTACTTTAGGTCTTTCTTTTATTATAAATGCTCTGTAAGTACCTACTTAAAGAAGTACAGTATAAGTTAGATTCTTACATAGTGACCTTTAATTCAAGTATATTTTATGGCATATGTAAATTATTTAGTACGCACACTCAATATTTTCATATAACAGCTAAATTGTCATATACTAACTGTATTTATCGTAATAAATTTATGAATTAGCAGTGTTTTTTTAGTATGATGAATTTAACTTTGCGATTAACTTTTTGTGTTTTTTAATGAAACATTTTTAACTGTTTAAAACCCAAAATAAATTACTTAACTCATTTTAACTACGGCCGAAACGTCGGGTTGCTAATATATTTCGCATTTTAAACCGTAAAAATGTTTGATTTTAATGTACTATCCTTGTATTTTGTAATCTACTTCCATCCATATCTTTTAAATGGGCTTTTGCATTATCTTAACATATTACATAAATATACGAAATATATATTTCGAAAATCGCCAAGTGGCCTGAAATTTGTATTCATTTGGTTTTCCTTAATGTAATAATAAAAAAAAATGCTGCCAAATAATCAAAAAGGGTATCACGTCTTAAATTGTAAGTAAATTATCTCAATAGAGCTATGAAGAATAAAGAAATCGCTACCAAATGCCCCACGATACCACACTTATATGCACTGGAGAGGAAGTCCGGGTCCGAAGCTATATAATATGAGGCTTGTGGCGCGTCACACGAGATGATGCGGGCCGCGCGCGGTAGAGACGTGCCCGCTATTACTTCTGCGGAACGTCTGTTGTGTGGCAAGGGCTTTAGGCGGACGGCTGCGTCACTGAATATCAAATCAGCGTAGGGAGGTTTCGAGTAGAACATGCTGAAACTAAAAAAAAACTTCGTAAATATATTAAGCATATTTTTAGATTTTCTCTAAGGTCCAAATTTTGTATACAAATACTTTTTTTGGGTGAATTTTTACTTATCTTACATAGTAATAAGTTTAAATATATTATTGGGATAAGTGTAAATGTCGATGGTAAACTAGTGACGTCCATCTAAATAGAGTATTCGAAGTGTTCCTTGGTGTAATAGCAGCAATGTGTAGCTATAGTCAGCTAACAACTAAGCTTAAGGTCAATTAAGATGTAGGAAGCACAAAGTCCCAACAACATTTATCCCTTAATTACATACCTAAAATCATCGTTGACAGTAGCTCCATACAGCTGTAGAGCATATAACATAAGGTTTGAGAAGGTATCAAGCTCTGTGTGGTTAGCTCGCCCCATCAGTACGGAACCGGGCACTTTGCCCAAGTTGCAATGTTTATATTCGTGGACCTTCGCACGGGTACCTGCGAAAAAGCAGGAAAATATATCAAAATACGAGTATATCCCATTTTTTTTTATGTACGTGAAAATTTTTATTTCTGTGTGGGACAATTAGTTTGTTCCTGCTTTATGAACTAAGCAACCATATACTTCTAATAGTTAGAAATAATATTTAAAGGTTATCTACTAGCTGAACTGGCAAACGTTATTCAAAGTCAAAGTCAAAAATCATTTATTATGTATGTACACTTATGAACGTCACAAAATAATTATAGAATCTAACTTTACATTTACTATCAGTTCTCAAATCAAGGGCGTAGAACGAACGAGAAGAACTGGCAATAAACTCGCCGTCACTCCTTTTATCGCCAAGTTTCATTTTACATTCTTGATTTACTTTTAGCACACAACATATTTTTCCTTGTAAGAGCAGGTTCCTCCACACCCCAAGCATTTTTATCATTTAAATATTGATTAACATGATAATAACTATTTTCCCGTATAAGTATTTCGACCAAATTTGATTACCATGAAGCAGTTCTTGTTCATTAATCTTGAAATATATCTATAGGCGTCACGGACATTTTTCAGATGATATAAAGAGAAATCTGTGATACATAGTTTTTGATTTATTAAATCGTTTTCGCAGCGCACTCTACAGAAGCACACATAGATGAAAAATCTCTCCCATTTCCATCTGATGTTTTAGAACATAAGCCTTCCTCGATAAGTGCTCTAACGAACAAAAAATATATTTCAATTCGAACCAGTGAGATTAGTGAATACAGTGATATACTATTCTCTTCAGCTATATAATATTAGTATACATAATAAGGCATAACTCACCATCAGGGCACATGAGTTGCAAATCGTCTACAAGTAGATCCCTGGCCCACCATTCGCGTCTTCGCCCCCCGGCCACTTCAGCCGGTGCTGTGTGACGGACGAAGGCAACATCGCCACCACCTTCCACCATACACCGGATCGCACCCACGTGTCCAAAGTAATCTTCGCTGGCGTCGCGTCTACAGCGGCTGAAAAACAAATTCTATTTGTTAGATAACTATGTTTAGAAAGAACACTGGGCAAATTTTATCATAACATAACTCTTTATACAATTATTAAAAAGGCTCAAGTTATCATGCTATTTCTCCACTTGAAACATATGTATTTATACGTATTTATTGATTCTCTACTATTTTTGACGACATTAAATTATGTTGGCTTTTTATAAAATGTTTCTGTATTTATATGAATTCTGGATGGATGGATCTTCAATTTATAATTAGCAGGTTATATTTTAGAATCAAAATCATACCGGAAAGACGCTCCATGACAGAGATGGCACAAGTTGTCGTGAGGCACCGTCCCCGAGTCCACATACTCGCTGCTGAGGGCGCCAGGGGCGCATGACTTCGAGAAGTACTGCGCAGCCGCGTGCGCACCGTCGCAACCATATGGCCTGGAACAAACGTTTAAAATGACACATTTTTAATGGATTTAAATTGTGGTTTAAGTTTCATTATTTATTGGCTTTACCGTTCAGAATTAATTCGACTATCTACTACTAACTATCAGCCTACGATATAGATATATACATAGGAGTCAGCAGAAAAACAATTTGTAATTTCAAAAAACTTAACACAAAAACTATGTATCATAGCATTATTCCACATAAAAGTTCTAAAACTAAGCTTTTGGGCATCACGTATATTCATAAATAGTAACTCGGGCTATTAAAGTACATACAGTGTGCGGCCTATACATTTATTGTAATAGAACTATGTATTTAAGACAAAATAATTATATGTACGGTGCATGTAAAACAAAATTCGTTTATTTTTACAACATCATTGATGATTTTGAAACTAGTAAATAACAAAGTTAAATTATTCCAATTTGTTCTGTGTCTATAGGATTTGATGATTTTGCTCAACCTTCTAAGTCACATTTTTCAGGTTACATTTCATTAAACAACCCTTTTTAAAAAGAATAAAACAAATTATTACCTGATCCACCCATTAGACATAAGATATGCTAACGGATAAATCCATCCAGCAGCCATGCCTATGCCAGTATGACAAGTGTTCTTGCCACGAAGGTATGTCAGATCTGTATCGGGATCCTGTTCTTTGCCTACCGCGACTGCGTAGTACCAACTATCGCCGCTAGAGTACACCTGTTGTAGAATAGTGAATACAGAAAACGAAATGCAAAGAGGAATGTCCGTATCAAACCACAGATTAATAGGTTTAAAAATAAGTTTATTAAATTAAATAATACATGTCAATGTACATTTTCATCTTAAATAATAAAAATAAATTAGAATAATGGGTTAATTGGGGGACAAGTCAAAACACAAGCAACCCTTTTCCAATTTTTTTTTATCTAGCTATATACACGATTTTGAGTGAACGGTACTATTATAATTTTTAAATAAAACGATGAATATAAATGATTTTTAACTGCGGCTCGATGTTTCGGATGCTTTACAGCAGCCGTGGTCACGGGGAGACTAAAGAGGGAGGATGTCTCTGACGTCAAAGTAAAAAATTTCTACGCTAGCGCCATCTGTTCCGTCGAAGTTTCGACAATATTCTATTATAATGTTGTTTCTTAAGTCTCCTTGCTTCATTGCGTGTTGACACTTATATTTATCCAAAGACAAAAATAGGTCGACAGCGCGTCTTGTTTAGATGTTAGGTGGCTGGGCTATTTAACCTTCCATCAAGTAAACGCCATGCTTGTTTTTCCACATCTACTATAAAAAAATACATATCTATATTTCATATAAACTCTTTTCTAGGATTAACAGCAATTTTCATGCTCGATGCTTACTTCTTGCATGAAGGGTACCAGCCGGTATTTATAGGCCGCGTGCAACATATCAGCGGCGTCGAACAACGCCATATCGGCAGTTCCGTCTGCGATAGCTCGCTCGCAGTGTCGGGAACTGTGAGCGCGCCAACACACCAGCACGGGCGATAGAAATGCGGCCTTTAAAGCTACCTGTCATACAGAACTCCTTTTAAAATATGCTTCATTCAAGTTGGGAATGTGTAAATATTTTTCTTTTAGTATTCCTTAATTATAATTTAGTCTGATTCGATGAAACATCTATAGGAGATTGTTTTTATGATTTATCGTTAGGTTTAAACGATTTTGTTATTTATAAAGTTTGACGACAGTCCAACTCGCATGAAGGAAGAGTAGTTACATAATTTCTTATATTTCAGTAGTTCCAAGGAACTATTACCATTTTTTGATATCAAGTAAAAATACCTTAATTGTTTGTACAATATGTTGTTATATCGTGGTTCTTAAGATACAGCCTGCCTTTAATAATATGTTTCTATTCCAAACGAGAAAAGGCGGGTGCCCCGCGTTTATTAATTTAAATACGACCTTTTTCACATTAATAATTCGTAATAATTTCACAAAATATATTTGCGTAGTTTTTATATTATTTATATTATTATATTATTTATTTTTATGGCAACTTTATTATTTATAATATATACCACATAAACAAAAAAAACTTGTAATAAGTTTTGGGATCGAAAAGGGCACGGTAGAGAAGAAGCAGGTGGGAATTTCGGCGAATTCGGATATGGAGCCAGTTAAGCTTTCGGCGAAATTCAGAAACGTGATCATATTTGCGAAGGCCAAAAATGAAACGTATACACGTATTATGAAGCCTCTCCAGATTGTTAAGCTAGAGTTCAGTTAAATCAGGGAATGATGCATCAGCATAGTCCACGATGGAGACTGGACAAGTAGAACTCTTGTAGGGATGGGACGGGAATTTTGTAACCGTTTTAGGGAGTGTGATTTGAATTGTATTTAACATACCCTCATTTTTATACACTTGTCGTACTCTGGTTCGCTGGTGACGCACAAAGTCGCCCTTTTGACAGGACAGTCTCGAATGCCAATAACCGCCTTCTCCGCTTGGTCGCCGACGTATTTATTGTTCAAGATATGCTGAGCTGCTTGTTCCTCCTCATTGAGGACTCGGAAGCTTATTGTAGAATCCTGAAAACACAACACTTATGCATAATATATTAGAAAGCGGATACTTTCGTTGCGTGTGCAGCGAAAACCAAAGGAACCAAAAAATAATGTATGAGAGAATAATTCTTCTTTCAATGATTAAAAAATCTTTTACGATTGACTCACAAGAACCGTTTTTACGGTAATCAAAATTAGTAGAAATTAATGCGTTATTACCAATTATTTGTTTGAGTTGTATCAACATGTCTCATATTATGTATCAACACCCTACTAATATTATAAACGTGAGAGTTCGTATGTGTGGATGAATGTTTGTTAGTCTTTCACGCGAAAACTACTCAATGGATAACAATTAAACTTTCCAATAATATAGCTTATACATCAGAATAACACATATGCTACAATTTATGAAGATATTGTGTGAGCTGTCCAAATTATAACATTAAGTGCCAAGTAACTAGGAAAAAACCTACCTCTTTGCGAGCTATTCTGGCGTGCGCTGCCATAAACGTTAGTTACACATAATTATGTAATGTATTATATGATAGAGATCATTTAGTTTAAATGCGCGATACTACGTAATCCTAATCCTGCGTAGGCGAAGTCGCGGGCACCAGCTAGTATCTCATAATATTAATTTTGAAAACAACAATGTTTGCCTGATCAGTTTGTGCATAATTATATTAATATTTTTGGTGTTAGAAGTATAGTCTTAGTCAGATGTTAAACTATTCTATTAGTTCCATAAAAGTAACTATTTAAGGCCCCGAGTGAACTAAAGAAAATTATTTCATAATTTAAGTTTCAAAGCAAAATAATCCTGATGGTGATTTTTAGCCTGGAGGTCTATGAACTTACATATCCAGAACTTTGCATACCTGTAGGAGAAGATCCGTAGTGCCATCAGATTGGAACAGTTTAAATGGCAGCTCAATAGGTTGGCCATAATTGTCCACTCTGGGTTTGTACGGTGATACAGTTGTGCTAGAATAAATACCAATATATCCACATAATATATAAACCATTAAGTTTGTATGAACGAGTTAACAACAAAAACTAGATACTGTCTGTAGTTTACGCTAGTAGTACACATTTAAATAAAACACTTTAACGGTTTAAATCGCGATATATATTAGTTTCCGAAACGCCGGCCCGAAGTTTAATACCATTTTCAAAAAAGTTTAACTAATATAGATCGCGTTTTAAACCGTTAAATGGTTTATTTAAACAAAAACTAGCTATAGCTTTTCAGGACTTTAGAACCAGTGAATAACTTTTCGTTGTAGACCGCCTCTGCAGGTAAATGGTTAAAAGTGTTGCCTAGCATTGCGTTTAGCCCGAGAGGTTCTGGGTTCGGGGCAAGGCACGTAAGTCTGATCAACATGCCTGTAAATAAACAAAATCGATCGGTGAAACGAACACAGAAATGTGTTCACCCCATTCCCCACACGAAGACAAAGGAGAAACGGAGTTCCAGTTTTTACTCTTACAAAATATATGTGACAGAATCCACATTTGAAGCTTTGATTGCTTTAATTGGCTATACTGATTTCTATAAAACTTACTACTAATCACTACTTATTTAATCACTTTTATATATTTTCCTGTAATAGTACCTGACCAACATACCTTTCGCCCTCCGTTCTATCAAACTGGTTCCGCCTGAAGCCGTCATAGTATCGACTCTGCTCCGTGGTAGAGGACAACCAATTCCCGTAAGCGTCTTGTTGATACGAATCAGTACGATTCGACATTTTGTTCATAGGATTCGGTTCGCCATACAGTTCCACGATCTTCATGAGTAGGTTTTGAAATCTGACAGAAAACAAATCTTTAGTTAATTGGTTTCAGTAAGGAAAAACTACTAAAATTAGAATTTATGGCAAAAATTCGACGATGACGTGTAGGACACGGTGGCTAAATTGGCTAGAGCAGCAGCACGGAACGCTGTGGATGCTGGTTCAAGCCCTGCCCGTGTCGAAATTCTTTCAATTTATAATCGGATAATTAATATCATCATTACTTAGCCCGCTGGCTAGGCAAAGCCACACTGGATGTGAGAACTGCATCAGCCGGAACACGACCCCAGTTGCATCTTTCCCATTGCGTTACTGTTGCGCGTGATCCGTCTCGGCATATCAGCTCGAAGTCTGCTTCCGTCACGCCCCCTACAGTACAGATGTGTTTAATGTTTTGTTTTAAGTAAAGCATTTTAGTCATATGGAGTGTTCGTTTAGTAAAACGTAAATTTTATGTTATATGAATATAGGACCAAAATCTCATTTAGTTTGAAACTTGGATCCCCTGACGCACACGATGGTAAGATAAAGTATTAGTTATCTATATACGATTAAACGTGGATGTTTTACATAAATGATACAGAAGGGTAAACATATTTGAGAGCTTCTAAGAACTTATAAGCTGATTAGACAACTGTTCCGACTAAGACAAACCACCACCAAAGCTAGCCAAACTACAATGCTGCATAACCCGATTCGCTGTCGGAATGTTCAAGCCGTCTATAAGAAGTTCAACTCATATACGACTTGAAAACTTCCACAGCACTCGGTTAGTCCAAGCTTTGGAATGCTATTAGTATGAAGAAAAAGCATTATATCTAAAGACATTTGTGTTATAAGCCTAAGTTAAATTTAAATATCGGCAAGTATGATGACAAATACACAAACTAACAACGGGGACTGTCCACTTTTCATAGAGACACAGGCCAAACAATTTTGTCTCAATTTTGCTAAAATGATATTGAAAAATATGTCTGCCTTATTTCCTACACAGAGAATCATTACTTTACAACTTTACTTTTTATATTCAAATTAAGTGCAAGTTATTTTTGATTAAAGAGAAGAAGCTTTGCAATATAAAATCAGACCATATTATTATAATGTAAAGCAAACTTCCTGGCTAGTTTAAGATGACTCACCCAAAATCTTATGCGAGAGTAACGCATGTTGTATAGTGCTGTCCCGTACAAAGGCTATTTCTCCAGTACTGTTACTCACGAGGCATTTAAGAGCACCTTCGTAGCCCGCATAGGGGTCAGCCAAAGTGCAACGCACCCCAGCACCGCCGGAACAAAGTTTGCATAATCTTAAAAAAAAATGATATCAGTATGTTGATGTTTGAGTCATTACATGGGATTTTTTTTCATAAAACCAGTGTTATAATGAGGTTCTGGGTTTTAATTCAAAGGAAACATAATATAGTATGACATCTATCTATAAGACTAAAGATGAAGGATGTCTCTGAAAAACTGCTACGCCAGCGCCATCTGTTCTGTCGAAGTTGGTATTTGGCGAAACTGACCAGGATTAAAACTGTTAAAGTGTTCCATTTAAATATGAACTACTCACGTAAATTACAGACAGTATTACTAGTAGTAGCATCTTTAAAAACCACAGTGTGCTTAATTATTAAATACATGGATTACTTTACTTTCTTATAATTACAAATACTATTTAACTCACTGGTCTGGATTATCACCGATGGGATTATAAAGATCCTTAAGAGAGTTAGGTGCACAAGAATCACCAAAGAACTCCACAGCAGATTTGACATGATTATTGCAGTCTGTTATTTTTAGACCACCTTCTTTTATCAACTAAAAAAAAAATGGATGTGTAAATATTGCATAATTAAGTAGTATTTTGTAAAATCTTAAAACACAATAAATTTTATATAATTTGTTTTTCTTTACCACATGTATGGGCATGACCCATCCAGCAAGTGATCCAACACCTGGGAAACAGGCTCTAGCACCACGCAGCCCACTTAAACCAATCCCTGGTTGCACTTGCGGTAAGCCTCCTTTCTTGACAACAGCTACTGCATATTGGTATGGTTCCCCAGCACCATACACCTAGATGATACAAGAATATGTCTCAAAAGGAAAAGGATTTTATTGCTAGCTTGAATTTCTGAGCTATTAATAGAATCTAGATGACTGAAAAGTCTAGCCTAAAAAAATAAACTTATCTATTAAGTAAGGTTACTAAATAGACAAATTTATATTTATAAGTATTACTGACTTTAAATAGACTTTATATATTATTACAAAAAAAAATTGTTTTATTGTATTATATGAAATACTGTTTCCCCCTGTGGGGCATCAGGACACATTTCTGTCTCATTACTGTGTTTTATTTACAGGCAAATAGTGGATCAGACTTCTGTGCCCTGCCAGACTAAACCAATCTATTGTTTCCCTGGAATTCTAGCTATACATTTAACCATTTAGTTACAGAGATTGACAACTTATAGTAAGGGAAAATGTCTGAAATACCTTCCCCTTTTTCAGTGTTGGGTGGACAGTTTTATTTCTTTCTTGAACTTGAATAATCAAGCCAGTGATCAAGTAATAGCAAGGCTACATTTATAAGAAAAGTAAATAAGAAAATTTATAAGTATATTTAGGAATACAACAAACCTCTTGTAATAAGGGCACTAGAGAATGATATCGACCAGCAACATACACTTCTCCTGCATCCAATGCCACTAAGGATGCATCTCCTTGATCAACCCATGTCATGCATTCTTCTATGTCAAATGCCTTAAAAGAAAGTAGGCGTCTACTATGAATACTTGACAAAATAGGTTTAGTGTCTAGTAACTGCTGCCAATAATAGAATACACTATACAATAACTAAGACATCTCTCTGAGGCTTGATAAATTATTAGATATATTTTTGTAGTTTAAAAAACCTTAACGTTCGTTTTATTATAGCTTTTTCTTTATTTATATGGATTATAGTAAAGAATTAGTAGTACAAATTATTATTCAAATAAAAAAGTAGTTAACAATATTTAATTAAACATACCCTTTTACATTGAACTTCAATGAAGTCTTTTCCAAATAGACCTTTGTCTTGTAACACGGTTTTTGCTAATTTCTGGCACTTTTTCTGTTCTGGTACGGATGTTGTACACCAGGTTACTATGTCCGTCCCTTCAACCTTTGGAATTTCGTGAATACCATTGGAAATACTTTCGCTTCTATAATAACTAGCTTGTACTGCGCCTGTAAAAAGTTTTTTTAGTTATATGCTAGATACTGTTAACGCCTTACAATCAACTTGTTAGTTATAGTAAATACTGAAAGGAAAATACAAAAGTACAAGCTGCATGACGTACCAAACACGAAATGTATAAAATATAATACACGCATTGTTTTGTGTTTTCAGATTACCACATTATCAAAATGTTTTCAAAGTTATTTATTGGTAAAAGGACACACCCGGAATTCAACAAACACAACGCATTTTGAATTATGAACTGTTTCATGGCGTTGACAATTGACATTTTAATGTCAAAGTCAAAATATTATCTATAGCTAATACGTTTTGATATACGTATTGTCAAAGTTAAACATATTTGATTTGACGTATCTTGAATTTTTAATATTCGGATATTTCGTTTTCGAGAAAAATACTGTAAGTTTAAACTAAATGTTTAATAATACTGAATATATATATTATTAGGAATGTGTACATTGTGTTATTTACAACCATCACACATATAAACATTCGCATAAATACATTTTAACTATTTCAGGTAAATTTCTAAAATTGAATAAAAACATGGTCGTGTTTACATGTGGCCACTGCGGAGAATCGGTACAAAAGCCTAAAGTTGAAAAGCATTATCTTACTAAATGCAGGAACAGGAACCCAAATTTATCGTGTATGGATTGTTTTAAAGATTTTCTGTAAGTATGTCGACGTTAATTACGAGACAGACGTTTATAAAAGGTCCTTGCTCTGTATATTTGTTACGACAATGTTTTTGAACACTGTTATGTATATATAAAGATTGTGATATCTCAATCATTATAAATGTTATATTGTTTAGATTACAGATTTGTTTACAGAAGCATAATGATGGCCTAATTATTATGTTTATGACAACCTATCATATTTTTTTTTGTTTCAGTGGTGATGCTTATGAAACACACAATAAATGTATTACAGAAGAAGAACGCTACTCAGGAAAAGGTTTTCAGGCTAAAGAAAAAAAAGGTGAAAAGAAACAAAATGCTTGGGTAGAAATGTTACAATCTGTATTAGATGAGCAGAAGAATGCATCTAAAAATGTTTTGAGAATTATTGAAACAATTAGCAAACACAACAACACACCTAGGAAAAAGCCAAAATTTATTAACTTTGTTAAAAATGTGTGCGGGGCAAAAACAAATCCGAAAGATGTTGATGCAGCTTGGGATCTAATATCTGTAAAACTTGTAGAGTTATCTAATAGCAACAAAAATCATAATAACAATCAAAATAAGGAGGAAACCTCTCAAGATGTGACAAATGGTGAGGTGGAATCAAAAACAAATGGAATGACCAATGGTAATCATGACAGTGTTGATGAAGATAAGGATGAACACAAAGAAAAGCCAGAGGTAAATGGTGTTAATGGAGTCCATGAAGATGCTAAAGAAAACAAATTGACCAAAAAACAAAAGAAAGAAGAGAAGAAACGTAAGAAGTATGAGGCTGAGTTAGTTAGTGCTGAAACACCATCAACTGAAGTTATTGAAGAAGCAGAAACTAAGAAGAAAGGTAAAAAGGGTAAAAACAAGGAAAACATCAATGATGAAGAAAATGGAACTGAGGGTAAAAATAAGAAAAAACGGAAGCGTCAGGACACTGTACAGACATCTGAAATTATTGAAAATGGAGCTGTTATCAAAGAAAAGAAAAAGTTGAAAACTGATGAGGATGCAGAGGAAAGTGTTTGCCTGCATGACCAGAATGTTGCCAAAAGTGAGGAAGTTGAAGAGAAAAAAGACAAATTTAATTGGCATGATGTCATCATCTCTGTTTTGCAAAAGAAAGACAATGAAATGCAGTTCAAACGTCTTCAGAAAAAGGTCCTCGGGGAGTATTCTGAATTCTTTGGGTGTGAAGTTGATGACAGAATTGCTGATAAGTTTATTAAAAAGCTCAAGAGTGCACCAAATGTTAGGGTTGATAAGAATAGAGTTATGTTAATTGAAGACTAGTAAATATCATGCTACTTATCTCTTTTGACAAAACATTTTTGTGGCAAAACCTGCCATTAGCCATTAGAAAGAATTTTCTTTACAATTCTATATTCAATACTTAACAATATTTTAAGGTTTTCTAGAAAGTAAATCTTAGTCTGCCAAACGTTTTTCAATAAAAGACTAAAATTATTGTCTTTGATGAATACAAAATTGTATTGAGTACTTTCTTACCATCTTGGATTATATACTTTTTATATCCTGTGTTAAATTAACATATGTACATGAAATATTTTTTTTGTATAACCTGTGAATTGTCAATGCATACTCTATATGAATAAATGCAGAGACAAAATTACTAACAGATATACAGTAATGACAATTTACAGATATTACAGAAATCAATAAAATATCTACAAATAATCTTGTTTTACTTCTGGCATTGTGGACCCAAGATCAGCATTTAAATTCAATAAAAATAAACGAGTCTAATTTAGTTATTTTTGACTTTTTGGCCAGTCTTTTCTTAGACTAAAAACTACGTAATAATTATGCGGTATATTAGGCTATGTCCGTAATTATTTAAGTAAAAAAGGAAGATGGTTTTGTATTAACGTTAAGACGTACGTTGACTTAATATAAAAACGTAAGTTTACTTGTTCATCATATGCTGTCTCTTCGAACACAAGAAATTAAGTCGTGATTGAGATCCCAATTCCTTTTGTTAAATGATCTGGTTCGTTTGACCGTTCAATTGAATTCATCGAACGAAGGAATGGTTTTGAACTAAACGAACAGACTCGGACCAAGTAGTTTGCCTTAATTTAAATTGGTTGTTGATTTGGGGTGAGTAGTGGCTATTGGTTCGTTAAATCGCCAACAATATTACGAAACTACAAAGGTATGTGTAGTAAGACAAGGATTTATATACGTCTTTGTCTTAGTATTTTCAGTACAGATGCGTCGAGAACCTGAACATCAACAAGTACGAGATATGAGTAGCACGAAAGTAAAGCTTACTAAGCCGTATATTACACTTGAACATGTAATCGGATTACGAATCCGAGATGTTGACGTTGAAAGATAAGTAGGATCACAGAATCTGAGAGCTTAAGCCGTTAAGGTTTGAGCGCGTTAGCTTTTTATTTAATAAGTATTAATCGAATAAATAATACTTACTGCCATTGATTTTATGTTATCTATGACGCGATATACTACTTAAACAGATACATGGTTCGCTCGTAGCGTTGTAGCAACTGCTACGAAACGTAAACGATCTCTAAAATAGACTTTGACTTTTTTGTCGCTTAGATCTTGTGTTACTTTTACTTTACCTACTAGACCTGACTAGATGATAATAGTTATACAATTCCAAGGGAAACAAGTATTCCGGTTAATGAGGGGACAAAAGTCGAATCAACTATGTTCCTGTAAAAATTATCAATGCAACAAAGCAGACACAGAAATGTGTCTGCTTTGTTGAGCAACAACTCAATCTTTCTTTAGGCTCGGTTCGCTTTATTTTCCAAAATAATTAAGAAAAATAAAGGACATTATAATGCTTTAAGGTAAAAGTTTAAAACATATACTAAAGCGTAAGACCATAAAAATATGCCGTAACGATCGCTCTGTTGTAGGAATCCTTAACAATGTTAGATATCGTAAACAGACAATGTTCAAGTGAACAATTTGTAACACGATAACAACGCAAACCTGTATAATTGAGTAACAATCTATTATCCTCTTTCATGTAATTATAGAAATCTTAAAACCTTTTGCTCTAACCCCTGAAATGCGCCGTCTTTTTTTTGGAATTTTAACAGACCTAAACTCGAAATTACACTTCACGCTTGCGATTGTTTCTTGCTTGCTATATGGTTGTTTATGACTAGGAAGAAGTTTCGAAATTTCTACCATCAATTAAATATTCGGACACTAAAAATCAGAAAATGATTAGCAAACATGGTGGATCTGGTTGAAATCAAATCTATGACTTGATTATTATTTGCTACCACGACCCCATGTCAAGTTTTTGAATTTGAATGAATAATAGAATCAATTTTATTTATTTTTTTCGGGTTTACAACATCATAAAGTTTAATTTAATTACAATAGAAATTAATGCTATAACAGTAAATTACAGCAATAGAGATATAAGAATTGTAATTTAAAAAATAATGTTGTACAGAAGTAAAATACTTCGACTACTGTGACTTGTATGCCGGAATATCAATTCCATTTAAGGCATAAATTATCTATGAATAGACATGATAAATGATAGTATGACTTAATGGTAAACTTTTTCGACGCTGACCTAAGTCGGAAATGCCAAAGTCGCTATTCTTTGAAAGAAATCAAAGGTCACGTGATTTGCAAATATTTTTGGGAATAGGTTATTACATACTATTATTATTGTATGCCCATAAGGTTAAAATCCGTTTCCCGATTAGGGTATAGTGCGAACGACTGTCCGTTTCATTGATCGATTTTATTCACAGGTAAGTTGATCAGACTTGTGTTCTGTCTGGTCTAAACGATATATTATTTTCCCGGGATTTAACTCTCGTGCTTAACGCAATACTAGGCAACACGTTTAAGAATTTAGCTACAAATGCCCATAACATAGGTATATAAGTGACGTGACAAACCCCGCTCTTAATCCGTAATGTCTAAATCTATCTAATATATATGAAATGCTTCTCATTCGTGGTGCGGACACATTTTCACCTTAATTTTATCTTTAGAAAAGTGAGTTTAAGACTTAAAGTGCCCTATTGTTAAACACTATTTTTGTATACACGCATTTGTTTCTCGGTGCCATAAAAGTGACTTATGGTTTAAAACTAGCTGTGCCGGCGGCTTCGTTCGCGCAGTAGTGTTATTTTGGGGTATCAAAATTTATTTTTGCAAACCTTCTCCTCATCTTTATAAATTATAATCGTTAAGTGTTACGCTATAGAAACCCTCAATGATTATTAGTTATATTTCCCCTTTTTTCCATATTTCCCGCTGTTTCTACGCTTCTATTAGTTGCAGCGTGATGTTTAATAGCCTAAAGCTACTCTCGATAAATCTCTAACCAATAAAAAAATATATTTTTCAATTCGAACTAGTAGTTCGTGAATAAAAAAAAAACACTCTTTAGCTTTATAGTATTAGGTACATAGGTTTCAAAAACTTGCACAAAAATTTTCTCGTTACTAAGTTGCGTAAAAAAAAAAATCCACAATATAGTTATTTTTGCGCAATCCAGTAATATCCTCTGTTATTACAGGGAAAGATAAATGGTTTATCAAAATAGCTTAGGGACGTAGTAATAAAAACCAGCCCCGACGAATACCCCGAGTAGTAATAGGTAATATTCCTGGCACATAATTTGCCGTCTGAGCTTGATGTAAATCGGGTTTACGACGAGCTAGAGTTCGCCTAATAAAAATATACAATTTTGGCTCATTTGTCAAATTGCGTTTTACTAAATCAGAGTAGGTAAGCAGAACTTTAAGGTAACGAATAAGATAAAATCTTTTCATTTTCGCTTTCAGAAATACAAGAAATAATAGTAGGTCACGGTAGATCTAATAGTTAAAGCAACAGCACGGAACGCTGTGCTGGTTCAAGTCTCGCCTGTTTCTATCTTTTCAAACTATTATCTTCAGCTTTATATATTATCTATACTAATATATAAAGCTGAAGAGTTTGTTTGTTTGTTTGAACGCGCTCATCTCAGGAACTACTGGTTCGAAAAATTAATTTGTATTAGTTAGAGCATTTATCGAGGAAGGCTATAGATTATAAAACATCGCCCTGAGTGAAAGTACAGCGAGAAATGTACAACCCCAAAAATATGTATGAAAGAATGATTTCTCTTTAATGATCTAAAAAAGTTTACGACGCTATATGTCTATCTTTTAAGATTAACTTGCAAGAACAACGGGAAGGGACGCGACCAACGTCGACGGTTAAGTTTATAAAGATATGCGGTTGAAGATTGAAGAGGGGTTTGCAAAACCGAATTTGGATGCCCAAAATAAATTATATAAGTCGCTGACAAAATAAATATTCTTAGCGGATGAAATCGCTGAAATAGATAGTATACAAGAAATATTATAGTTTTCAAATGGCATTTAGTTGGTGAATTAGGTGATATAAGCTGAAGAAAGCCATAACTGAATAATATATATGCGTTTTGAACAGTTGGAAGTGTTATATTTAACATGCAGTGTTATTTTCATACTTGGGGTAAAAGTAAATTGACATGTTTATTTATTGATGAGAATATTCACACTAGATTATATTCTGTATATTATAGATGAGGCACTATAAATAAGTGGAATCTCGCAGTAGAGCAGACGTGACCATGTTATTATATTGAACATAATATATATAGAATGCTCTCAGGTTAGGTGAGGTCTTACGTGACCGTACGATATATTGAATTTATGACGACGCACGTCACATTTTATCGCTTTCCGTTTTGGCGCCATTTTTAATTAACGCCAAGTTACTACGTATATATTTATTCGAATCATGTTTTGTTAAGTTATTTGGATTATAAAATATTTATTCACGCTGGTTTCATTGTTCTTGCATAGATTATTAAATCTTTTAAACTATGCATTTCAGTAACTTGTCCTATATTGCGTAATTGAGGATTTTTAATTATATTTTATGGCCATAACCGGACCTAAGCCAAACTAATTGAAGAATACGATGTAGTCTTTTGCTACGGACACTTATTAAATGCTCCTATTCTATCCTCTTCTAATCTATTGTCCCTACATCTTTATTATTATTAGTTTAAAAATATATAAATTTAATAATGATCTCGGTTGAATGGGCAAAAATGACGTTTCAGTTTTCGCGCCGTTTCTTAAAAGTTGACTTAAAATTGGATTCTTGAAAGCCCACAGCAAAGTTAGAATGCGGTATTCAATTAATCGCCGAAAAAAAAGAGCAAAAAAGAAATTCATCGTGAATTTTTCAAACTCCGTCATTAGTACAAGTTCGCACCCTTCAAA